GAAAATCATGACAATTGTTCCTGGTCAACATTCAGGGGACTTCCCCATTCGCAGAGCTGAGTAGCGATTCCATGGCAGTCCCATTTTGTTTTGCGGCATCGAAACTTCCGTCTTGGCTGAGTATATAATGTCAACCCTGGATTTTGCTAAACCATGGTTTATTAATTAGTGGGGTACTCCCCAAATAGTGGTAATCTAATACTCAAATGGTACCTCCCCAATCAAAGAGCCGTTTGGGGTTTATTAATCCGGGGTTGACATTACTGGGAGGTTTGGGAGGTTTGGGAGCCTTGGAACCACTGGAATCCCTTGGGTGATTGTGACAGGAGCACTGCTCCACAGCGCGGCGGAGGGTGAGAGGCCCCTCGGTGGTGAAATTTATTGAGCTGGGAGCACCAGGATTGGAGCTCGGGTTTGTGAACATAGGTGAACATTATCATAACTATATATAATAACCAACATATAACCAACATGTTATCATCTATAGATTTCCGTGTGTTTTTATGCACTTCGAGAATTGGATCACCTTAAGGACCCCACCGGGGAAAACAAAACATGCGGCATGTGCGGCATGTGCCGGTGCCTCGAAGGGATCTGAAGACATGGAGGCACTGTACAGGATGGGGAAAACCAGTGATGTGAATGTTGGTGAACATAACCCCATCTAAATTTGATGTTATTTGATGTTATTTGCGTATCATACACCAACTTGTTATGACATAGTTGTTTGCACCAACTTAGCGTTCACGAACTGGGGCCCCATCCTGTACCATTTTTTCAGCCATATTTTGGGGGGAAAACCATCTCCTTACACGGCCCACCACTCTGACAGTTGAAATCCCTACAGGATGGGGCCCCCCGTTCGTTGTTGCGTTCAGTTGCCTAATTTTTTTTGTGGCTGAATTCTATGGTTTATGGTAGATATAACCTATATAGTAGTAATGTGAGGCCCCCAAGATAACTAAGTTGGTGAACATAAGTCCAATAACTATGGTTTATGGCATTTATAACTATAGTTACTGGGGCTTATAAACCAACTTATAACTGGGGGGCCTCACATTGTAGTAATGGGGTTTATAAGCCAACAAACATCACTGGGGGACACCATCCTATACTTTCGGGTTTAAAAACGATGGTTTCCGGGTATAAACACGATGGTTTCCATTGGTAGATTTTCCATGGGCTTTCAAAGCATTGAAGAACAACACGAGAGCTCAACACCAGATCGTACAACACCACCAGCGCTGATTTGCCATGGGGCTGGCGAGCAGTCACCGCGAAAACTCTGACTATTGGAAACCCAAATATGAATGGTTGGCGGTTTCAAACATTTTTTATTTATGTCATTATCCCAAATGACGAACTCCATCATTTTTCAGAGGGGTAGGCTCAACCACCAACCAGATGAGGTGCTCAACATCGTTTTCTCCGGTCGAAGTTCCAAAAGTTCTGAGAAATTTGGGTTTCCAGAGGTCAAATTTCGAGGTGTACCCTCTGGTAAACTAACATATTGAAAATCATATTTGTTTCAGGATTTTCAGGTCAATCATCAATAAATGTACCATTTTCATCCATTTACTACATTTGTTTAAGGTAAATCATCACTAAATGCACCATTTGTTGCAGGATTTTATGGAAAATCGTCAATCAATGTACCATGTTCATCTATTTACTACATTTGTTTAAGGTAAATCATCACTAAATGTACCATTTTCATCCATTTACTACATTTGTTTAAGGTAAATCATCACTAAATGTACCATTTTTTCAGGATTTTAAGGTAAATCATCACTAAATGTGCAATTTTTGCTATGTTAGTTTACCATTTCGGGTATCTTTCGAGGTATTTCGACGTCTCTCAAAACCAGGACTCTATACCACAGTCGTCCCTGGGGGATGGGATCCTTGTTTTGCCATACCTTCTCATTGTGTAATTATATCTACGCACTATATATGATGTAATTATATATACTATATATATATAGGTACATACTATATACATACTATATATATATAAATACACAATATATATATATATATAGGTACATATTTAATTTATGCACTATATATGTACATATATGGGAGTGATCCCCAAGTCACAATAGGTTGGATGATTTGGTGTACCCTCCATAGAGTTCATCGAACACTTGCCCTGATCTGTTTTGTTTTTCGGCTCGCCTAAAAGGAGGGTTTTTCCAGTCATAACTGGTTGGTGGTTTCAAACATTTTTTATTTTTCCATATATTGAGAATAACCATCCCAACTGACGAATATTTTTCAGAGGGGTTGAAACCACCAACCAGATAAGATTTATAACATCTATCTCTCATGGTTTTACATTATAAGATGTTATAACTATGTTTATAAATATTATCGGGAACCAATGTTATATGAACTTTTCCTTAGTAGACATATGGTGTCATACAGGTGAATTCTATGCGTTATGGTCCTAGTTAGAGATTAGATTGTAACATGCACAAAAAACCCTGCTGTCAGTGGACTATTCCCACGTACGAAGAAATAACCAGGTTTTTTTTGCCCACCAAATCTGGTTGGTGGTTTGGAACATTTTTTATTTTCCATAATACCAATTGACTAATATTTTTCAAGATGGTTAAAACCACCAACCAGAAATGTTACGTAGGATGCACCACCAACCAGTCCAATTTTGGATGATTTGATAGCATGTGAGTTCGGTGGTCGTGTTGCTCACGCACCAGATTCTTGCTGCTTACTATCTGGTTATTCAACATAGCTATGGAACATGGCCCATTTCATAGATGATAAACATGATGACTTACCAGTTATATAGTAATTATATATTGGTGATTTATAGTCTTATACAGTAGTGACTTACCAGTTATATAGTTGAAAATGATGATGTGGTGATTTTCCACTCCGCTAATTACGTGAAAAATTGAAGAAAGTGACGCAACTTTGCCATACTCCCAGGTCCCAGGATGAACAAGAACACACAACTTGTGCTGCAGAATATATCTTTGTTTTATCAGTGTCAATCTCACATAGTTTCGCCATTTTTGCAGTGCATCTCATTTTTTTGATGAAATCGCTGCTTTATTTGTGAAACATCTCAACCACATTTCGGAGTTCCCCCTTTTGCTTCGGTTTTTTGACGGTTAAATGTTCGTTCTGGTTGCGTGATTGAATCTCCAGTTTGGTTGATCAAAGCCAACCATTTTGATTGCTTAAATCAACATGTTCCATACATTTCGGATCTTTTGCTAGACTCGATTGACGTTTTTTGGGTCCGATTTTGAGACTTTGCTTCCGTGCGGAGCATGGATTTTTGCTCGCGTTCGCTGGTGGAAAAGATAACCCGGGTCGCAGGCATTTCACCAGCAAAAACATGGAATTATCTAGAAGAACTTGGATTTTTCAGAAACAGATGGGAGTTCACCCACAATTGGGGTTGACTTGTGGTTGAAGCAACCAAAACTGATGACTCTAACTTTAAGGCGGAGATTTTTTAGCATTCAAATTCGGCATCCACAGAATGATATCACATGATATAACATGATAGGTAGATCTTACCACTCTGCGCTTCATATTTGGATATATAATCTATTCATATAGTGACCATAAATGACCGGCAGAACCATTATAGCGTGATGGAAACCTGATCGAAACCTCTATGGTTGCGACTGAAAACTGGTTGGTTTAAATGCCATCTCTTTAGTCGCAAACGATAGTTAAGTTGGTTTACAACTCCAATAACTATGGTTTATGGCACTTATAACTATAGTTAATGGGGTTTATAAACCAACTTATAGATCTGGGTAAATTTGATCACGACCGAACCCTGTTCTCCCGAACACTGGAATCATGGTTTTTATAGGGAAATCATCCCCAGCCATGGCCGAACTATTCAGGTTAGTGAAGTATTATAATTTACCCAGATATATCTTCAATAGCCAGAATGCAGATTGCCCTTTCCGGGGACCCACCAATTGCCCTCTGGTAATGACTAACATAGCTATAGAAAATCAGCATTTTTAATAGGTAAACCATCTATTTCTTTGGGCAATTTTCCATAGCCATGTTAGTTTACAAGAGGCAAATACTGGAGAACATAAAGAGACAGAAAATACAGATCAAGAAAATAGTAATACAAAAACAGAAGAGAGCACTAACAATAAAGAATCGGAGTAATAGTTGTTGCTAATAGAGGCTAACTACTTCCCCCTTTATCGCTGTAGGGTTTTCCTTGTTCGACCAGCAACTGGGGAAGCCGACAGGATGACTATGGAGGTGTCCTTCATGGAGCTATCCCTTTATCGCTGGATGGTTTATTTCATGGAACATCCGAAAATAAAATGGATGATAACAAGGAAACTAGGGTATCTGAAACTTTCATATGGGTTTGTCTGAAAATAGGGTATATTCCCAATTATAGCCATTTAATAGGGATAATGATCAGCAAAACCATTGGCTTTAGGGGTACACTATTTTCAGACAAACCCATATATACTCACCAGCTCATTCATGGTCTTTGCACGGTATCGAAGATTGGCCATGTATCAATGTATACATTCTTTTCAGATTTTGTGGGAATTTCAGCCAGTTGCCGGCCATGTTTCGTTGGTTAAGCCTCAGTTGGTGCCGAATTACTTCCAATCTTTCTGGATTCCACATATTATTTCTGTACCATCTGGTTTTTTAACATACTTATGGGATTTTATGGGATTTATGGTGGTTTACTGGGATTTAATAGGATTTAATAGGATGTACCATCTGGTGATGACTAACATAGCCATGGAAAGATCCACCATTTTTAATAGGTAAACCATCTATTTCCATGGGCCATGGCTTCCATGGCTAACTGTTAAATAAGAAAAGGGTAGATTCTTCATCAACAAGCCAGTTTAATCATATATTGAACAAGAACCTTTTTGTGGACCATGGATGTCCACAAAATCCCAGATTTTTGCTCCAATTTTCCCCCTTTTTTTCCCCTCCAGGCTGCGAAGAAAGCGAAGGACATGGATGCTCCAGTGGTAGAGGCCATTCCCGAAGATGAGGCGCGCTGGAGCCTCTGGAGCCAGCACCGGGTTCGTGAGAAGGAAAAGAACTATCTTCGTTTTAAGCATTCGAAGCGAAGTAACCCATAAGTTGCCACTGAAGCTATGGGTTAGCTAAGCATTCGTGGAAACCTATGGGTTAGAGCTATGGTTGCTAGTTGTGGTTACTATGTGGGATCCTGCAAGTCATCCCGAAAATGGTGATAGATTCCATTCCATGGGGCACTTTTGACTCGATTCAGCCGGGGGAAAGTAAGTGCTTCACCCCTGTAGCACCCCCCAAAAAGAGAGAACAATCGAACAGTGAGAAACTTGGAAAAGTGAGAAACCTGCAAAAGCGAGAAACTTGGAAAAGTGAGAAACCTGGAAGTACTCACCATTTTCCAAGTCAAATCATGTTGAATTTTTGTGTTTTCCAGTGAAATCTGCTGGAGATTGTCAGGTCGTGAGACCGCCCTTCGCCGCAGGTGGGCGATTTTTTTGGCACCACTTCAGTCACCAAAAATGGCCCTGGTTCATGGCTTCAGAAAGGGACATTTAAGTAGCAAAAATGGTGTTTCACCAGGGATACTAGGGATTTAGGTGAGGAGAATGGTGATTTAACCATGAAATATGGTTTTTAATCATGAAAATTTGATTTTACTGGGATTTAGGAGGAATATAAACTATTACTTGTAGGGGTGTTATGGAGTTTGAACTATCGCGCATATGGTGATATAGGTGATGGTTGATGGGATAATTAAGGACTCCCCATGAAACAAGCACTGATCACTTGAGTATTAAGCATTAACCATCATTATCCAGGATTCATCATGTTTCACTATATGTTTTGTGCTCACCATTAATTAACCATTATTCACCACTATTCACCGCTATTAACCAGTATGAAGCATTATAAACCATTTTACATAATGTCAACCATTATGAACCAGTATGACCTACAATAAAGTGTCCCCTTACAAAAAACATGTTAACCAGTATTATCAAGAATTATAAACCTTATTTTTTCCATTATTATGAACCAGTATGAACCACTATAAAAAACCCTCATGTGGGCCACGGTTTTCATCGTTTTCACCATGATTTGGGCTGATCTCAGGTGAAGCGCAGCCAGAGGCGAGGCAGTTTTTTTTTCAGAGCTTTCATGGGGGATATGGTATGAAGGATCTATAGGTTTCTATATCATTCTATATCTAATTATATAGTTATAGCATGTTATAGTATAATTTATAAGAATTATCTAGAATTATCTAGTTATGGTCTATTATAGATATGGTATGAAGGATATAGATCATGGTAAATATAATGCGTTCTAAGTGTATTATGGTTTAGGGCATGATGATATAGATCATGGTATTATGATATACCATGATCTAATGATAGAAACCTACATTATTAATGAATGATCTGGTTTCTATATCTAATTATATAGTTACATATAGTTATAGTATATCAATACCATACCATATCTTGGTTTCATGGTTTATATCTAATGGTATATAAAGGTTTCTATAATGGTCTATGAATGATATAGATCATGGTAAACCTGGTAGATATCTACATAACTATAGGTTATGGTATAATGACCATAGTTTCTATAGATTTCGATAGCTTTATGGTACTGGTAGATATCTACATAACTATAATGGTCTATTATAGATATGGTATGAATGATCTATATCATGGTATGTTTCTATAGGTCGTTATAGTATGTTATAGTTATAGTATGCTATAGTATGTTATACTTATAGTATGTTATAGTCTATAATAGTCATAATTATGATGAAAAATCTACAATTATCTAGTTATAGTATGTTATAGTTCATATATATATATAGTTGATGGAATTTATACACGAACGTATGTAATGGGACTTCATGGGAATCGATGAAACATGCATGGCGTGAACAGTTTGATTCTGTGTATGTATACCCTCTGGTTATTTATGGTTATTTAACATAGCTATGGAAATGGCCCATTTATAGATGATTTATGATGATTTACCTATTAAAAAATGTGATTTTCCATGGCTATGTTAGTCATAACCAGATGGTAAATAGTAACCCCCTAAGAGATAGACAGGTTATATAATTAAGTTATGTATCACTTGTTTTATTGGGATTTTGCATTTTTTTAATGTTACTGTATAATATTATGCGCGCGCGTATGTGTGTGTGTATGGTCAGTTTGATTCTGTATACCCTCAGGTGTCTGGTATTTGCCATCCAATTTTCTTAGGATGTTTTTTGTTTGAATTATTTTGATCTATTCCGAAATCTCAACTTGGAAAACAATTGACACCTATGACACCTTGCATCTGGTCAGAATATTCTTAGCATCTTCACAAGGCCTGTTTCGTTTTTCCTTCGAATGAGCGTTCCCTTCCTGTCGCGAAATGCGGCAGAAGTTCAAAGCAGAGACGACTCGGACTATCACAGGTCTTTAAGATGTTCTTTTGGGCGTCAGGTGATTTTTGATGGAACAATCATTTGATTTACGAGAGAAAAACGGAGTTTACATATGTTTACATGGGATCATATAATTTGATTGATTAAATGGCATATATAAACAACCATAATGGGATATAATTGTATATACCCTTTGGTAATTTAAGAGTTAGCGAACTGGACAATCTTTGTGTTTAAGTTTGGTAAATCATCGAACTAAATGGGCTTTTCGGGCTTCCTAAACTGTGAAATTTCCGGACGCTACAGGCTGATCGGTAAGTCGTCATGTTCTTTTCAGATGGACCAATGGTCACTTCCACTGCTGATGCGGAAAATCGGGTTGACCCCTGAGCACTTGAAATGGCAATCCAAAACCATACCCATTTGGCTTTTCGAGGTTTGTAGCTCGATTTTGTGTTTATCATGGTGGATTTTCAAATGCCAGGAAAGGGTAAGCCTTTTCTTAGGTTTCCTGTTAGCGTCTCGCAGGATAGGTTTGGGGATCCAATTTGCTGCGGTCAGAAGGGCGAGGAGAGAAACGAAGAAAGCGCGACAGTTCCTCGTTGGAAGACGCCCGAAACAGTTCCGATAACTGGCGACTGCAAGAGGACAGACGGAGAGCATGGTCCCTACTGTAGAATTTCTTCGATGTGCAATCCATGTGTGGGAAATGTCAACATCAGTGAAAACTCAGAAAAAAACCTTTCAAAGCTACTTAAAACTGTAGTTAGTTGTTTCAGTTTGACCTATTTCTGGTAGGAACTGTTAGAAGATGAAATCAAAATAAAACAACATGAAAAAATATGACTTTTGGGGAACCCCAAACACTGCTGAACTAATACCTGCGGATTCGATCACCCTTTTCATCTTGGTGAGTTCAATTATGTCTCCATGAATATCCGATGAAATCAACACTATCCAACGATCCCAATCTTCTGAGACTCATTTGGGTGTGAAAATTACAGCACCTCGAATTTCACGGTGATTTTCTTTGTTGGATGTTGGGTAGGGGCTCCATCGTCAGACATACCCAAGTATCATAATAAGTTGGTTGTCTATCCCATTATAGCCCCACTATCGTTGGCGATAGCTCTGCGTAGCTTTGTTTGTTAACCCTTTGAAAAAAACCGCATGTTTGATGGTTAAACCATGTTAAACCCCATAAATTCTACAGTACATGTTTAATGGTTAAACCACCATCATATCACCATTTTGATTGGTTATAAACATTCGTTTTTGTTGCTTAGACCCCACTATTCCAGTTATTCAGAAGGTTGGTTTACCACACATTTTTGATGCTTAACTCTGGGAAAAACATGTTGATTAAGTCCCAATCATCCCTTTTCCCCTAATATCTGGGGTAAATTATAGTGACCTCACTTTGATCGAACCCTGGAATCTGAGGCTAGTGAAACATTATAATTTACCCAGCCAATATTAAAAATCAGGGTCTAGTCCTCAGGTGATGACTTGCTTCGATGAGAACTTCCACAGTCGCCCCTTGAAGAAAGATGAAGAAAGCATCCCATAAAATGGGGCTTCACCAACAAAAAATCTAGAGATTTGACCATCAGACATGATCTGGTTGGTGCTTTGGAGCATTTTTTATTTGTCCATATATTGGGAAGGTCATCATCCCAACTGACGAACTCATATTTTTCAGAGGGGTAGGTTGAAACCACCAACCAGTAGAGATTTGACCATCAGACATGATTACTGTTTTACTCGCCGAAAACGTGTTTTTTTCACCAGCAATCTTAGGGACTTCACCAGCTTAAGATGGTATCGAAGCAGCTTTTTTTTAAATGGTATTTAGCAACATATATATATATATATAATATGTAATGAGATATACAACCAAACATGATTTTTGTTTGGGACAGAAGTGGGGGAAGTTCTTTTTCAACCAATTTGTTTATTGTCTCAATCAATGGGAGAAGTTATGATCAACCAAAGGATTTCGGGGTTGCTGTGATGTTTGCTGTTTGTCATGAATGGAGGTTTCCTAAAATGGGGAAAAAAACCCATATCATACATTTTAATAGGAATTCCTTTTCTATATACCATCCATTTTGGGGGTAGCCCTATTTTAGGAAACCTCCATATACCCCATAAACCCAAAACGTCAACCAAGTGATGTGCGAAACAACTTGGCAATATTTTAGGTGGTCTCACATTAATAACTACTGGTAAGGTTTTCTGAAAACGTTTTTTTTTTACCTTTTTTTATTGGGGAGGGAAGAACATTGGAAAACCATGGGATGGGATCATGGAAAAAACAGGAGCCTAAACCCAAGTAAAACCATGTACCCGGCCTGGTTATGACTAACAGTTCGCCATTTTATAGCTAGGTAAAGCTTCTATTTCGATTAGGGCCATCTATTTTCCATGGCAAACTGTGAATGTCATAACCAGAGGGTAAAACCCATGGTAAACGCCATGTAAAACCAGGGTGTCCAACCAGCAAGTTTCCCTTGACCATCAGAGGAACCATCCCAAGGACCCCTTGGGATCACGGTCCAACGGAGTATTCACCACGGTCCATCCTCCATTTTTGGTCAAAGGCTGAAATCACCTTTTTCGGAAATGGCCTAAAATCCTAAAAGCAACGATAGATAGATGGATTTCGAGATGGATTTGGACCTATATATTGTCCATTCTTATCTCATATTTTTGGGGATGAACATCCATCACTCCCAGCTATTTTGTCAACAACAGGGTACTTTTCTCGACTCAAAAATGATCCACTTCGCCGTACCGGTTCGAGGCTATGTGCGCATCTCCAGTGATGCTTTGGAGGCAAGCTATATCGCGACCAAGGAGGAGACTGGCGCCACTAAGAATTGCGCATTTTTTTTCATGTTTGGATGGCATTTTTTCGGCTGTAATGTGTTTTTTTCCTTGGAATATAGTTGGAATCAAGCATTTTATGCGATTTAATGGGCTTGATGAGATACTGATATAATTTTCTCCATGAACGCAATGCCCAAATGTGTGAATTTGTTGTGACTTATACTAAGCTACCTATTTTCTTGGGGATTGTGAGAGCTAATAGTAGGAAACCTATCGACCAACTAGTACAATGAAATGGGAAAGCATGGTATTGTTTGAATGGCTTAGTTGGATAACTGGCAAAGATGGGGGGTTTTAACTACAAAGGATATATGTGGATTTAGCGAAATTGATTTACAACTAATATAGACTAATGATTTACCTGAGTTTGTGATGATTAATGATGACCATCCAATTATAGATCAAATAATATTGGTAAACTAACAATAGGTAGTATCTAATATATATATAAGTTTTAATATGATATTATATATATAATTAGTTGTATAGCTAATACAACTTGGGTTTGATTATACTTGTGGTTAGATGCTTCATGAAGCAACAAACATAAATGGAGAGCACAGACCTTGGGGATTCCCGGGGTGGGAATCATTCCCCTTAGAGCGAGTTTTGAAGGCCGATGCAATCAATGGAGGTACGTGACGGTGGATGGTTGCGAAATCCTGCACCAGTTGAAAACTGTGGTAAACATACCATTATTTCTATGGTTTCAACATGTTTCGTGGTTTATCCCGCCATTATTTAATATTATTTCTATGGTTTCAACCATCCTTTTGGTGATGCAGGATTTCGCAACCATCCACAGTAGTAGCATATTTCAGGCCATGTTTTGTGAGGATATTCCCTGAAATTGGGGCCTAAGAAATCGGCCTTTAATAAATGGTAGGTACCTCCAATTTTTATCGGTTCCTGAAATGGCCGTTGATACGGTAGAACTTATCAAGCAATTTGCTCGCTGATGTGGGGATGGATCAATGTTTGAGACAGGAAATTGATGAACATGACATCCAACTGGAGTATGGGATATGTTGGGCGGTGTTGAATATGACTGGTTGGTGGTTTGGAACATTTTTTATTTTCCATGATAAAAAAGGGATAATCCTTCCCCTTTGACTAATGTTTTACATTGGTTTTTCTTACGAGTTTACTAACTGGTTGGTGGTTTCAAACATTTTTATTTTCCATCATAAAAAAGGGATAATCCACCAACCATTGACTTTCATATTTTTCAAGATGGTTATTGCACCACCAACCAGATATGTTGGGCGGTACCCAGCGAGACTCAGGGGCAAATAAAGGGTACACCATGAGAAGGTCGTAGATGTCCCAAATTCGCATTGGTTGGTTGATGAAAATAGAGGGGGTTGAAGGTTTACCCCTTTAACAACAGGTAAATGATGATAGATGATGTATATATATATGCCAAACCGGCCCCTCTATTTTTACCAAAAGGACATTATTGGTCGAGTCTACCATCATGGACTTACTGGTGCGTTTTACGTAGGGTGGCTGGATGGGTTGCTGGAGGTTGCTGGGATGATTACTATGATGAAATGGATCATTCCCGAAAATACCCTGCGTTTAGCACCAGTAAGTGGATGACAGTGGGTTACACAACTGCCTGTTGCTTTCCGGCATCAAACAAGGCCCCCTTTTGGGAACATCCAAATCACCAAGCAGATTAGCTCTGTTCCTCCGTGCCATGAAGTGCTGAAATTTCATGGCCGGATCCCGTTTTTTTTGGGGGTCGTGCTGCTGCAATTCACTACCACAATGTTACGCTAGCTTCTATACTTTGCGTGTTACTTGAGCATGTTTTCTTGCTTAATCCTACCATATGTTGGTGCATGTCGAGATTCTTGCTTATTGATACCCTATTCTTGAGCTAATCCCTTCCCTCTCTTCCCCCTAATACTAACCCTGACAAAAGACGATTGAAAGGTCGTCAATCTGACACCGTTCAGACCGGAAGCCCCTTCCTACTAAACGTCCCCCCCTAATAAACACCATGGGGTATTTTGTAGTATTAGGGGGTATTTAGTATTAGAGTCAGAAGTTTTCCCCTCAAAAATAGATTTAAATAATTTAAACCATATTTTCCTTTTCAAAACCAATCAAATTCCTTTTGAACATCTCATGAGCATATTGCCAAACAGGGATTGCGAAGCTTTCCCACAATATAAATTTTAGTCAAAGCTTTGTTAAAAAAACTTAAATTGTCCTTTTCAAAATCGATCACATTCCTTTTCAGAATCTAATGAACATATATTGCCAAACATTGGATTATGAAGCTTTCCCTAATATTAATTGTAAGAGGTTTTCTAAAACTAAAATGTACGATTTCAAACGACGGACCCTAAAAAGAACAAATTGGACCTTGATCTTCAAATTGATTTCTAAAGATAACTCGTGTCAATCAAAAATCAATTTGACCAGCCTGATTTTTTTTAAAGATTGGAAATGTACCCGGTTGGCCTTGAACCTAAGGTGAAAACCGAACCTGTGCCAGAAGAAATGAAAACAGAGCCAAACGTAAAGAGAGAGCCGAAGGTGAAAACTGAAGTCAATTCTGAGGACGCCTATGCACGGCGTCGCGTTCACTATGACGATGATGCCAAGAAGACGACGTTCATCCCATCAAAGAAAGGACAGACCTGGCGATGTCAACTGCGAGGTCTGCCAGATGCTGACCCTACGAGCTGATGGGCAGATGCAGGGTGCGGCCGATCGCAATTGGCCTAGTTTTTGATATGTGCGGTACATTTAGTAATAGGGTGAAGGACTTGTATACTTGACCCAATTGTAGATTTGCTACTATTTGCTACTCAACTCATGATTTCTGTTCGTTTCTCCTTTCTGTCTGGGTAGGCAAATTCTTTGTTGGTTCATACTGTGGATGGAAGAAATCCTGCACCACCAAAAGGATAGTTGAAACCCTATAAATAATATTAAATAATGGCGGGATAAACCACCGTTTTCAACTGGTGAAGGATTTCGCAACCATCCACAGTATGTTTATTATTTGAGCACAGGTCAAGCCAAATAGTTGTTTGATTTACAGTTCCACAACTTTGATATTAAGACATGGTGCCCCCCGGTTTACAACCTCCCATCAAGTATAGGTATGGAGAAGGGGTCAAAAGCCTGGTACCCATACGGTGCCCAAAATTATAGCTGGTGAATGGATGGTTATTCCCCAATTTATGGTTATGATATGCAATAGCAGGTTGGTGGTTTGGAACATTTTTCCATATATTGGGAAGAATCATCCCAACTGACTTTCATATTTTTCAGAGGGGTAGGGTTCAACCACCAACCAGATAGTTTTTGATCCATTCCCATACGTATCGAGATATCTACATCATCAACCCAGGGACCGTTGGAGTTATCAACTTATCAACCAACATAACCTTCGCGATTCCGGTTTCTGGGTCACCACCGAGTTAGGTGAGTTCAGTTCATCACCATGACAAACCAGGTACCATCGGATTGGTTTTGGTGGGAAAATCACAACCGGAAACCCATGGGTTTTTACCATGAAATATGGGGGTTTCCGGTTAAAATTGTCCCAACAAAACCAATCCGATGAAGGTAGGTTCATAAGGTCATAGCCCCTTTGATTCGTATCAGTCATCATTTATCAAAGTTGCAGAACAAATCATGATTTTTTGAGAAGCAAGAGTTTGTATGCAATTGTTTAGCTAGATATCCATGTATATTGTCAATTGATTGGTTTTTGTGGGAACATTTATATACAGTTAAACCTCCATTATTTCATAGGAAATCCATGGTTCCCTGTAGATTTTCCCTTACACACGATTTTTTTACTAGTTGAATCGTGATTTTTGATATTGATTTAAACTATTCTTAAAACATATACATCATATAGTAGGATATTGTTTAGTTGAATATCCATTGAAATCTGGTTGGTGGTTTAGAACATTTGGATTCTTTTTTCCATATATTGGGAATAATTATCCCAACTGACGAACTCATATTTTTCAGAGGGGTAGGTATACCACCAACCAGCAATGGTCAACATGGAAGCCCTACCCTCTGGTAAACATACAAAAAACGATGGAAAATCACCATGCTATTAATGGGTAAATCCATTATAAATCACCATTTCCAAAAGTTGGTGGTCTGCAGGAGGACTATGCTCTGCACGGCGGTCTGATTGGTGATGGCCCGATGCCGGAGTATGCTGAGCGAGGCCGAGAGGAGAACACTCGGGGGATATATGAGAATTAACGGGGTGAAATCATGGTATACCCGGCCTGGTTATGTCAAAATAGCTATTGAACATGGCCATAGAAATAGTGAGTTTTCCCATTAAACATGGTGATTTTCAATAGCTATGTTAAATTACCAGAGGGTACATGTACATACATGTATATATATATATACTGGTTGGTGGTTTGGAACATGAATGATATCTATATCTGTGGTTTCATAAGATGGGAACATGACATCTATATCTGTGGTTAAGAATGGCTATCTGGTTGGTGGTTTCAACCATTTTTTATTTTCCATAATAAAAAAGGGATAATCCTTCCCATTGACTTTTTTATTTTTCAAGATGGTTAAAACCACCAACCATATATATATAATATACATGAGATTTTTAACCAACAAATACGATTAAGATAAGACGGGTTTGTCTGAAAATGGAGATTTAATGAGATATTAATCGGAATATTGGATATCATATATACATACATATACTAATTATACAGTATTATCGTATATATTATAGAATCTATATGTACCAACAAAATGAAACTTTGGATTTGTTTGAAAATGGGGTATGCCCCAGAAACAACTTTGTGGGAAAATGATGAATCGCCCATCCAATATTTGGGGAAGATACTTTCAGACACACCCGAAATGTTTGGTCTGAAACTAGGGCTCAACCGTGCTGTTAGTCATCATTCTCCCTATGAAAATACCCATCTGGTTGGTGGTTTGGAACATTTTTCCATATATATAGGGAATAGTCATCGCAACTGACTTTCATATTTTTCAGAGGGGTTGAAACCACCAACCAGCCATTTTCTAGCGGTTTGAAAGCCATTGTCACAGCCATTGTAGAGGCCCCCTGTCTGAAATTCGTGTAGCCCTAAGGGTGGGAGGGATCATCATGGTGAAAAACTCGCTCCAAAAAGTTGCTTTCATGATATTCTATATGATCTTCTATATGATATCATATTATCTGCACATGATATTCTGTATAATCTCATATTTCCAGGCGTTTCTTTTTTTCCTATCTATTTTGGGCTTGCTATACCCAGATAAATGGAGATTGAACCAACAAGAAATGGAGAATTACACGGCAAATGCCGTGGTTTCAATCGAGGAGATTGGAGAAATGGAGAAACATTGGGATTTTATCGAACACTCAAAATAAGTCAATCGGGCAAAATGAAGATTTCCCGGACAAATTCGGAGATGCAACCAACCAAACAACCAAATGAGATTGAATCAACATCACCTAGGTGAAATCTAGGTGAATTCTATGGTTTATCTTAGATATCTCATGATATATCTATACAAAAAATGGGGTGAAACTAAACCAAGAAAGATAAATATCATGAGTATGATCACCAACCAGATTTTTTTTTAACCATTTTTTGGTGATCTTCAGATATATTACCATCATATTACCATCATCTTCCAAGAAAGATCACTGGGGGCCCGACCGTGGCTCCAGGCAAGTACTTTGAAGTGGAAGTCACGCGGACCGGTGAAGGCTGCGCCAAGGGATGCTGCGGGATGCTGCGAGCTGTGGGGGATGCGATTCGCTGTTTTTGAACGTGGGAAGCATATGAAATAAACGACTTAGATTAGTGGAATATCTTCAGATATAATCATAAGTAATCATATATAATCATAAGTAATCATATATATAATTATATATATATATACGTATATATATATATATATATATACGTATATAGATATATATATATATACATGGATGGATGGATGGATGGATGGATGCATGGATGGATGGATGGATGGATAGATAGTTAGATAGATATTCAATGATATTTATGTATGAAACATATGCACATATATAGAGGTTTCGACAGGTCCCAAGGATGACGAGAAATGCCCATCCCAAAATCATAGCAATTCCTAGTTCACCCCATTCGGTTGGTTTGTTACAGGTGCGGCCCCGCATTTTGTTTAGTTTATGCCCCATGAACTACACTTTATATTCCCCATAAACCCAACATATTCTGGTTGGTGGTTTCGAACATTTTTTATTTTCCATAATAAAAAAGGGACAATCCACCAACCATTGACTTTTTATATTTTTCAGGATGGTTATTGCACCACCAACCAGTATTGCTTATAAACCCATTGGATCCTATAAACCATCCATATTTTTCTTAGCGGAATCACCATTTTCCTATGGGTTTTCCTATGGGTTTTCCAGGTCACCCAGATGGGCTGTGTGTGGGCGTCACCTTGACGCCACCAGAGGAGACTTGACTGACAGGTGGAATTTCCCCCGATGTTCAGCGAGAAAAATGGGGCAAAAACCAAGCAGAATATGGTGATATAGTGGATGTATAACAAGCTATACAGCATGATATCATAGGTTTGTGTTGTTGATTCGTTATATGACTTGGAGTACAACTGAATTCCTGCCTGGTTTATATAAATTTAACATATATGGTTGGTGGTTTGGAAGATTCTTATTTTTCCATATGTTGGGAATAATCATCCCAACTGACGAGCATATTTTTCAGAGGGGTAGGTCAACCACCAACCAGAAACTGTACAGCTGGATCTCATATAGCTTTGTGTTGTTGATTCGTTATATGATTTGTTTTTGTGGCTCTAACCCATAAAGATGAAGGTAAATCAAGCAGAATAGTGTGATATGGTTGATATTTGACCGACAATATGATATGACTTACCCTCTGGTAAACTAACATAGCTATGGAAAATCACTATTCTAATAGGTAAATCAACTATAAATTTGCAATTTTCTATAGCTATGTTAGTTTACCAGAGGGTAGCTATGGTACATGGGAACCTCACCTGGTGCCCTGCTCTTTGAGCCTGTGACGACCAGTGCTTGAGGATTGGCAGCTAAGTAAAAAGATGTGGAAAACCAATGGTTTCCCGGAAGATGACCTACTATCATTTACTTTCATGTTGGTTATTCCATGTTATTCACCAATTTATGGTTATAATATGCAATAATATCTGGTTGGTGGTTTGGAACCTTTTATATTGTTCCATATATTGGGAATAATAATCCCAACTGACTTTCATATTTTTAGAGGGGTAGGTATACCACCAACCAGATTTACTTTCATGGTGGTTTTTCATGGATTTTCCATATTGATGTAAACGTTTACAGGCGGGTATTTCAATTATCGGAATCCAACCAGAAATCTATATGAAATTACCTCAGTATTTTCAGGTGGATGACATTCTGTGTATATATATATACTCAGAATTGTGGATTTTTGCAGTCCAACCGGCAGCAGCTTTTCCCCAAGTGACAGAATTCCCAGAATTGAACGGAGCATTTGCAGGAAGCAAAAACCATAACAAAATCGATCCATTCATTTATTCTTCATGCCACATTCCGCCGCCCCAGGTTCATGAACACTTCCTACAACCGTATTTGCTGGAATGAAACCTGAATTTGGCAAAGAATTGATGAGTAAGTGGGTTGTAGCACCGAATGACTGGGAAAGTCGCACATGTGATTTACTCCACATACCATACCTGGAGGCTGGAGGATCATCCTAAGGGGAAAAAATTCTGTCTTTTGCGACAAAAAAGTCGCCCTGGGTTATCCCATAGCCGGGTAAAATCTTGACCATAATGCCATTCGTTCAGACGTTAGTGGGGTGATCCTCCAACTACAATGACTACGACGAGTCATGATCGTCCCGCTTGGCCACCCCCATTCGAGTGACGTGCGGTGTCAACTGGGTCTGGGTCTGGGTCATGTGACGTGCTCTCTCTTGAAATCCAGGTGATCATGGCAATTTTTTTCCTGAGATGTCCAGATTTTAGCGTTGCCACATTTGATCTACCTGAGGAACATGATGATTTTTGGGGGCTGAAGCATCGAAAATCACGGTGGGTCACAGATCTCCGTTTTAGGAGCTCACTTCTCCACCTGATACCATGGATGGGCATGGGAGCCTAGGGTGGGCCGGTTGCTCCAAATCATTGGAGTGGTAAATGATAGCCACTCTTGAGGAAAAGCACATAGATTTTTTCGAGGTGAGGCCTAACAGTTATGGGTTGGTTCAAAAACCAGATTCACTGTACTTATATCTCCCAAAAACCCTAGTGAACCAAGGTATAAGTCAACTTATCTATCTGGGGGGGCCTCACCTTGTACCTGTTTATCAGCCCATTTCCCCCCCTTCTGGGGTGTCGGGAGCGACCCTGAATAACACATGGCAGTGGAGAACCACCAGAGAACTTCAAGAATCAATAATTCTTTTGAAACACATGATGATATTGAAACACAGCCATAGACACACATAATAGAAACTCCAACAATCAAGAACCACCATAGAAACACATAAAGCATCTTTTGAAACACGTGATTCTTCATTGCTGGTCATTTTTTGGAACTAATTATAACCAGCCTCTTTCTTAGCTCCATCTGAGGCCCCTGTTCGATAGCTAGGTTGACCTATAGCACTATTGTTAATGGGGTGTATAAACCAAGAGACATCACTGGGGGGTTTCACCTTGTATTTGATGCCCGTGTATTTTGCAGGCCCCCAAATCGCCCTGTGCTGATACTGATTAAGTAAATTTGATGGCCCAACAAGTCAGGTTTTGGATGCATCATAAACTGCCATTTTTGGTAAATACTACTTTATATTATCTTTAATTCCCAATGTTTGATGTTTGAATCCACATGTTTGAGGCTTCTAACTGTTCTGATTATAAAGTGCCAATTTTTGGCGGTTGAAATTCGCATTTGTTTGGGGTATAATTTTAGCATCCCATTAACATCCCATTAAAATCCCAATAGCGCACCCACTAAAATGCTAATACAACCGCAATAAAATCATCCCAAATTTCAGAAAACAATAAAATGCCAATAAAATCACAGTTAACAAAACCACCATTCATCCAATCAAATGCCAATAAAATCACATAAACATCCCACCAAATCCACCATTTTTTGTTGCGAACATTTCTGGGTCGTGATTTCTCAGGGTCGCTGACACTTGGATCGCGGGCTACGATGGTCTTTTTTGGGATCCTGTGGAGGTGCAGCCGGGTGACTTTATATAAACAATAGGTTATACCCTCCAGTAAATTAACATAGACCCTGCCAGTCATCGGGTTTGGAAGATGAGTTTCCACTCAAAATTGGTGATTTTCAGGGTCTATGTGAAAATTTTCCAGAGGGTAATTCCAATTATAAATGGTTAATAATGGGAATATAGTTAACAGGATTATATAACTAAACTATTGTTCACTGAAAATATTCCCATTATAATAGTAGTAGGATTATAATGGGAATATCATGGTTAATCCTGGTATATCCTGGTTATAATATGTTATAATTCCCAATAATGACCAGATTTATTGGTTAATTATTGGTTAATTATTGTTAATTAATTAGTGGTTACCCTCTGGTAATGACTGTTACATAGCTATTGAAAATAGCCCAGTCGAAATAGTTGATTTTTCCCATTAATAGCATGGTGATTTTCCATAGCTATGTTGGTTAATTAGTGGTTAATAATGATGAATTAATGGTGAATGGTTGGAAAAGTGACATTTTCTGGGTTTATAACCTATATATATATATATGGAGTAGAACTAATAGTAGTAGAATCCTACACTACATATGTTATAATCCTGGTTATAACCAATCCTCATCCAATTGATTATATATATATATATATGTATAATGGTTCATCCCATCAAGGCTGTAAAAAAAGTGGGTCATTGATATATATATATATATACATATAATCATCCCATCATATATATATATATACAGTGGTCCATCCCACGAATCGTAGGGTATAATCCTGGTTATACTTGTAGGGTAAGTAGAATTACTAAAGACTTATAACTGGGGTGAACTAAGCCACTTACGATTCCTGGGATGCACCCCCCGCCGATGCCGAAATACCACCAGGAAACCATGGCAATGGAGAATCACCCATTTACCCGGCCTGGTAAACATACAAAAAGCATCAAAAAGCGAACTGGAAAATGGCCCAGTCGAAATAGTTGATTTACCCATTACAAATGGTGATTTTCCATAGTTATTAGTTATGTTAGTTTACCAGAGGGTAGGTCGATGATGTTATCATTCAAACCCTCCATTTATAGTTTGTTTGTTTTTTTTTTTGCGTGGCACGGGATGAAAGATACATTTCACATGTAGTCTGGTGTTACTTCCCAAAAATCTATGATTTACTGCGAGTGATAAGCCTCAAATTGATGGCCATGGAATCAGAGAAATCATTACATGTTCGTACTACTGTATCTTTTGACCGTATATACATATATACATAGACCAAGATATGAAACATGATGACACAACATTATCAGACACATAGAATTTCATTTTTAAATTCAGCAATTAGATCTGGTCCCCACTGGTACATTCGGATATGGCCATGGTGTGGGCATGCTAATGGCTACTGCTACCTTTGGGCTTTTGGCGCAGTAGATGGGTTCTTCTAACGATTTCTGCTGTTTTCATCTGGCTGGTGGTTTGGAACATGAATTTTCTGACTTCCATATATTGGGAATATTGATCCCAACTGACTTTCATATTTTTCAGAGGGGTTGAAACCACCAACCAGTCATCTTGAATGTGATATTTACATATATTTACAGTACCTGTGAAAATTGCATGTTATATTTAGCTGATAGTAGATTGGTTACTAACATATACTATCGTGGTTTTGGAGTTTTAGCATAGCATCATATATAAATATGAAGTTTTCCCTGATAGATGTTTTTCAGTTTTACAATAGCTGCTTAATGTCGCAAGTATTGCCTGATAGTAGATTGGTTATTTGCAATCATTCACAGTTATTCTCTGCTTGGTATGCTAAATGTTCAATTTCACCAATAGTAGATTGGTTAGTTGCAAGGTAGTGAGACTCCCCAACTACAAGTAGGTATACACCCTCATGAATACTAGTTCGTTATATTTCCCATAAACCCAACAGTCAACCGAGTTGTGTTCGTCCACTTAGCTATCATAAATCAGCTATAAATCCCATCACATCATATCACATCCCTATTTTGCTTGGTTAAATGACCATTATCCTATGGCTTTCCTATGCTTTCGAGTTTCGACATTTGTCTTGGTTAAAGTCCGAGTAAATCCTTTTGTTTGCTGGTTAAATCCCATTGAATCCCTATTGTTCATCTTATGGTTTGCTCAACAAGTAAATCTTCAAGTTCCAGCAGCTCAGTTGACTCAGCGCAGGCGGATATGCTGCCTATCAACTGGAACCCTGCCAGCCTCCAAAATGGTGACAAGGTACGGACGGATGGCCCTCTGAGCTTAATATTACAATGTGGCTAATATGGTTATGGGTCAAAACCCTGGAATGGTACCCTAAAATAGTTGGTGACTGGATGCGTATTCCCCCGACTATTGTAATTTCATAGGTTTTGACCCATCCCCATATATGGAAATATATATATATATATTGGTTATATATATATATTGGTTTTAGATATACATATATATATATATACTGGTTGGTGGTTTCAAACATATTTTATTGTCCATAATATATGGGATAATCCTTCCCATATGCTTTCATATTTTTCAAGATGGTTAAAACCACCAACCAGTATATATATATACATATATATATATATATATACATATTGATTATATATATATATAGGTTAATGATTAATCTACATCTACACCAGTCATAAATGGGATTTTAGCCACTGGATATAGGGGATATGCCATAGCTGACAAGGATCAGCATTTCTGTGAGTGGCTCACAATCCTGATAACTATGGAAAAAACAGCATGTTTAATGGATAAATCGACTATAAATTGCCATTTTCAATAGCTATGTCTGTGCATATTAACTTGGGCAACCAATGGGTACCAATGGTAGCAAGCTGGATATGTGGATTTGAGCATCAAAGATGCTGGTTGAACCATGTTTAACCATCAATTGTGGCTTAGATGAGCATCGGATCGATGAATAGGGGGGATTCGAAGACACGGAAGACATCAAGCTGGAACCCAAAAAAGCACTGTTTTGGTTGGCTAAATTTCAATAGTTACAGTAATCACACTGTCAGTGCTTCATAGTTGAGAAACATACTCAGTTAGATGAATGTGTTACAAACCACGGGTCCTAAACGGGATGCAGGTCCAGCCCAAGCAGCGCAGGTTGGTGTGCTCATCCAAAGCGATGGCACTTTCGTGCTGGTGGTGAATGGGAAAGTGCCTTAGGTTGAAATATGTTGAAATGGTAGGGGTGGGGTTACTGGGAGGATTTACACTTCAGTAATCAAACGTGGCAAGTGGAAATCCCCTATGTATAGATATAACATACATATATAATCACATATATATATACATGTATAGAACTATCCAGTGGTTAGGAGGGAGTTAAGGAGCTAGCGGTATTCATATTCCCTATTAAACAGAAAACCAAGGAGCTACTTAGAGTTTCCCAACCACATGATGGAAGGATAGAGGCTTCAGTGGGCAAACCATTTGCAAATACTGGATTTTCCATTGGCATGTTTGATTACCGGAGGACAGAAGCGGGGACAATAAGTGGGATACTTACGGACAGTGAATGACACTAACAAGTATGAGTTTATAACCAACCATCTCAGAGATATCATGGGATATATTACTACCAAACCAAGCAACAATATGGGATACAGTAGAAGTTGGGGGGCACGGTAAACGGGATACTTGGTGGTTCACTGAAGCAATCGCTTTACGTGGCTTCGTTCACCTCGGATGTATCGGTTGAACTGACCCAGGATTTCGGACAGTGAACTCAGTGGGATGTAGTGGAATATGGCCATGGTTCAAAATCTACCCGACCTGGTAAACATACAAAAAGCGAACTGGAAAATTGCCAAAGACATAGTTGATGAACCCATTAAACATGGTGATGTTCCATAGTTTTTTGTATGTTTACCAGAGGGTATATATATATATATCATCTTTTTGGGTGGACGAACCTGCAGCTAGACAAGTGATTTTGGTTTGAACAGGGTACGAGGACATATACAGATATAGTATTGGATTGAAGGATATGATACCTTGAATATGGATATAATACTATATACTATGATATTGCAAATGGGATATTCCATGGTTATTGGATCTAGGCAGATCTCCTAAGCCACCAGATCAGGGAGTGGCGTTGGACTCTTGCGATACGCATTTGATCCGGTTGCCCTGTCTAAAGTACCCTGTTTTTTCATGAGAATTCTTGGCTCCTGAAAATGGAACTCATAGCTTATCAACGTATCACCGTATCCCCTTAAAAAATGGCCCTTTAAAAATGGCAAGTGTAATGCGGACATGCCCTCTTGTCGAAAAAATCGGCGAGGCGGCCGACAACGCAAAAAAAACTGTGCATTTACAAAAGAACATCAGGGCCTCACCAGCTGAGGCCATGTTCCCCTTCATACTTGGTGGCTCATCCCACTTAGTAAGTGGGTTATAACCCCAGTTATAAGTGGATTAACCCTACTTATCCCATTTATAACTGTGGTTATAACCCACTTACTAGCCGTGGGATGAGCCACCAAGTATCCCTTCATTGATTTTCTACACCACTATGGCCAAGAGAAATTCATGGCCTGTCCATAGTCTCTTCAGGCTTGGCAATCTATTGGATGATCCATTTTTTTGATGGGTAACCCCTGAATGTTTTCCAAAGAAGTCGTCCATTTTTTTTTCATTTGAGGATGCACCGATGAAACCATCGCTGTATGTTCTATCAGCCTCCATGAACTTCCTGATGATTGGGCTGCGCAATCCATGCTGACCTGGAAGATTCTTGAGAGGGATATTTGCTGGAGAATCCGCTGGTCCCAATATGAAGGGAATTGAATTGACTTTGGGCGTTTCTTTTTCCAATGGAAAATCCACCATCTGGGGAATCTATAGGGAATATGTTTTCTATTTTCAGGGGGGCCCTTAAGCAAATCCAAGTTCTGGACATATTTGCATTTCCACTACAAGCTGGTGCCCCAGTTCGTTAGCTAAGTTGGTGGAAATAACATCAAATAACTCCCATTTCACTATGGTTTATGGCAGATATATAAATATATATATATAACTATAGTATTCATGGGGTTTATAAACCAACATTGACATCACTGGGGGGCACCATCCTGTATATCATGCATCCGCTATTTGTGTCCGAAAATGGGTAACCCGCAAGCAATGGATTATCCTCACGTTCCCCATAAAAAAGGGTGGTTTTTGGGCCACTCTACGCCCCATTTCAGACACACCTAGAATAGGGGATCTATTTATGGCCTCCATATGTGGTAACTTGTTTATTAAAGTTTAATGTTGGAAACTTAATGCCATGAACATCCATGAACCATTATAAACCTCATGCTGTATAGCACCCATAAAAAAAGGTGATTTTGCGGCAACTTATATAATTGATAGATATTGATACCATCTGCCTATAGAGGCCATATATACCCATTTACATCATAGAGACCATATGAATTCAAGTATCATTGTGCTTGATGGCTCATCTCACATACGAAGTAGGTTATATCATGTTATATTCATGTTTTTCAGTGCATTAAGTAAAAGTAGGGTTCATCCATACTTAGGGCGAACTAACCTGCGTAGTAAGTGGGTGGTTCATCCACCAAGTAGCCACAGAAATCGATGGTGAAACCATCCTAGCCACGGCTAAAACCCCTGGACTTTTTAGGTGGCAGTGGAGCGATGTGCCAACGTGCCCTATGCGGGGCCTCCCAGCGGGGCTGGTATTTGATGGGTGATCAGCATCAATGTTGGCAAAATTTGAGGGTTCACAGAGAAAAATTGGCAAACATGTGGATTTGACCAAGAACAGTTAGCAAACATCTCGATTTCATCAACAAACAACTTGGGATTTTTTAGCCATCATTGGGATTTTAAACGCAAAACAATCAGGGTTTAGCTGGCAAGAATGGTGATTGAACTGAAAAAGGATGGATGTTAACAAAGGGGAGGTCCAACCAACCAGAATTGGGATTGAGGTTGGACTAGACTGACACAAATGGTTCCTTTCTTTCTAACAAGCAAGAATAGGAAAGCACAAACTGGAGTTGAACTCACAGTAATATGAATCATATGAGTTTTAGTGCAAGAACGACAGCGGATTCAATCAACAAAAACTGAGATTTCAGTCCAATGATATTCCCTGAATCCATGAATTAGTTCGTGTATAGTAGAATCAATGCAATATAAGCAGTAAAACTATACACTATCGTAATACATTTAAAGACATATATATATATATATCACATTTTACATACGCACATACATGGTATATATATATATATATGTATGTACACTATACAGTATGTACATACGCATACATACACCAAAAAATGCAACATAGAATTTTAGATACACATGTATTTCCAAAATGTATCTTGGTATATTTATCATATTTATCCAAAAATGTTTAGATCCACATGTATTTCATTGTATTTCCAAGATATTTCCCATTAATCAGTACTATATCACTGGTTGGTGGTTTGGAACATATTCTTTTTTTCCATTTCATATATGGGATGTCATCCCAACCCCATTGACGAACTCCATCATTTTTCAGAGGGGTAGGTATACCACCAACCGATCATATACTCCTTTTTCTTGGTGCGCCACAGGAAGGTGCCCCCCAGTTATAAGTTGGTTTATAAACCCCATTAACTATAGTCATATCTGCCATAAACCATAGTTATGGGAGTTATAAACCAACTTAGCTAACTGTGGGGCACCACCTTGCAAGGCCAAGCCCTTATTTGCTGTGGTGGATCTCCTCGGCAGTTGCGATGCGGTGAAACTGCTGATTTCGCTGGGGCCCCAAGGGCCCCAAGGCTGAACTGCTGGCAGGGTTGATGATGAGTTCGGGGATCAAAAACTACCCTTTTTGCCCTTTGGCTGTTCAACGTGGCTATGGAAAATGGCCCATTGATAGATGATTTATGATGATTTATGATGATTTACCGATTAAAAATGGTGATTTTCCATGGCTACGTCAAATAACCAGAGGGTATATTGGTAATTATAACAATCCAGATAGGGGAAACGACAGGTTTAATGCGAAACGGGATTTTTCAAAGCCCATAATCAGAGATCATCAGGTCGAGTGGGAAGTGAACTTGGAGCGTTGGACTCTGGAATTCTGGGACCCCCAATGATCATTCATGGCCATTTAGCTGAGGACCGAACTGATCTACCCTTTGGTAAACGTTTACATAACTATGGAAAATCACCATTTTTAACGGGAAAACTCACTATTTCTATTGCCATTTTCAATGGGTAAATCCACTATAAATCACCATTTTCAATAGCTATGTTAAATTACCAGAGGGTAATTGCTTAAACTCCCCATGTTTGACGGATTTTCCTTCAACTCCCATTTTTTGTTACACGCAGTTTCGGAAACTCCCGTGAAATTCCAATGTGTTCTCCTGTGAAATCCACATTTGTTCATGGCAAACTTCAACATCTCCATACTAATTAATCCTACTTATCCCATTTACAATCATTTACACCCCAAATGTATCCGAAGAAAAAAACAACTATATAGATTATATAGCATCCCACGATAAATATAGTTATATCTGCCATAAACCATAGTTATGGGAGTTATTTGCACCAACTTAGCTAACGAACTGGGGCACCACCTTGTAGTATCCCATGATAAATTATAACGACCTCACTGTTCTCCCTCACTGGAAATCATGGTGAATGTTAGGGAAATTATCCCCAGCCATGGCCAAACTATTCAGGTTAGTGAAACATTATCATTTGCCCAGATATATAGATTTGACATCCAACATCTCGAACACCGACGCCCAAGCCGCCCCTCAGGGAGCCGCCAGAGGTGGCAGCCATGGTCGTCTCAGAGGCAGAGTTTGTTCGCAAAAAATCGTGGGTGAAACAGGGTGGTGCCCCCCCAGTGATATATGGTTAATATATGGTTAATATATGGTTAATATATGGTTCTATACCCTCTGGTTATGACTCACAGTTCGCCATGGTATAGATGGCCCTAATCGAAATGGATGATTTTCCCAGCGACATCAACCTCCATTTATTTTTGGGATTTTCCATTGCTATGTTAGTCATAACCAGATGGTATTTGTTGATTTATGAAGCCATTAACGATAGATACCTCTGGTAAATTAACTTGTTGACCTTGAAAATGTTACCCATTTTTAGTGGGAACTAATCTTCCAACCCCTATTTGCCAGGGTCGATGTTAATTTACTGGAGGGTATATCTTTCTTAAACCCAAGCTGTTAGAGTTATCTGCACCAACTTAGGTAACGAACTGGGGCACCATCTTGGATAGTGGGGTTTTAATACAACAAAAATGGGATATACCCTTGGAGCCAGCTGGAAAATCCATCATCATAAATCATCTGTACCTAAATGGGCTACTTTCCATAGCTATGTTAAATAACCAGAGGGTAGATGGTTTTTCATGGGTTTTCTAATTTGTTTAACGTGCATTTCACTGTCGAAAACTTGGATTTAATTGGATTGGTGGGGTTCAAGCACCAAAGTATGTGGATGAACCATCAAAAATGGGATCACAATTGGGAGTATCGGGGTTTAAAGGGGGAATCTACTACAGGATGGTGCCCCCCAGTTATAAGTTGGTATATAAACCCCATTATATAACTATAGTTATATCTGCCATAAACCATACTGAAATGGGAGTTATAAACCAACTTAGCTAACTATGTGGCACGACCTTGTACCCATATTGGGATATTCTTATGGATCAATGGCATTCAAGATGGACATGCTGAGGGCTTCATCTGAGCAATGCATGATTCATGTTGACTACACCTGCTGGTGCCTAATGGCCTAGCTTATTGGGGATTGGTCTTCTGTTGCTATGATGGTGATCTGGAACGTGTGTCGTACAACAGAACATGGAATGACTGATAGGTATCAATGGGATCAACTATAACGTCAACCCTGGATTAATAAACCCCAAAAGGCTGTTTAACTGGGGGGGTACCATTTAAGTATCAGATTAATTATGACTATTGGGGGAGTACCCCCCCTAATTAATAAACCATGGTGACTGGAGAACTGGGGCACCTTCGTGACTTAGGAAACGTCAATTTGACCCCATTTAGTATCCAATCAGTATCATGCGAAAAACAAGGTGGAGCACACCAGTTCTAAGTTGGTGTGTAAACCCTATTAGCTATACGTAATTATATGGGGGGGTTCCATAGCCATGGGGTACCCTAGTAGCTGGATGGTTTATAATGGAAAAAAACATCTATAAATGGATGAGAACTGGGGGTACCACCATTTTAGGAAACCTCAATATACTTATATTATCTTAAATTCTCCAAAAACCATAGTAATATCGATAGTTATATCGCCATAGTTATATCTCCCACAAGCGCTAGTTGACCAAGTTATTTCCCACCTGCCAGGTGAGGGTTGTTAGATTTTATCAGAGCTGTTGTCCTCCGCCTCCTCCTCCTCCTCCTCCGCCTCCTCCTCCAGTTTCTCCTCGACCATGTCTGCATCAACTTCAACCTCCACTTCCGCCTTGCCAACTCTTCGCCAAGCTCTTCGCCAACTTCCGAGCTCAGTGCGCACTGCTGGACCTCAAAATGGGACCTTCCCAGCTCAGTGCGCACTGCTGGACCTCAACCTGGGACCTTCCTAGCTCAGGGCGCACCGCTGGACCTCAACCTGGGACCTGCCGAGCTCAGTGCGCACCGCTGGACCTCAACCTGGGACCTTCCTAGCTCAGTGCGCACCGCTGGACCTCAACCTGGGACCTGTCGAGCTCAGTGCGCACCGCTGGACCTCAACCTGGGGCCTTCCGAGCTCAGTGCGCACCGCTGGACCTCAAAAGCTAGATAGAATGCCAGAAGATATGCCAGATAGAATGTCAGATAGAATGCGAGAAGATATGCGAGATAAAATGCCATAAGATATGCCAGATAGAATGTCAGATAGAATGGCAGATAGAACGTTAAAAGATATGCCAGATAGAATGCCAGAAGGTATGCCAGATAGAATGCCAGATAAAATGTCAGATAGAGTGCCAGAAGATATGCCAGATAAAGTGCCAGAATGTTTGCCAGATAGAATGCCAGAAGATTTGAGTAGATAATATGCCAGAAGATATGCCAGATAGAATGCCAGAAGATATACCAGATAGAATGCCAGATAGAATGCCAGAAGATATGTCAGATAGAACGCCAGAAGATTTGCCAGTAACAAAATGTATAAATGTCATGGTGGGGATAACACGAAGTAAAGTTTTTTTTAGCGTTAACTTCGCTATCGTAAAGTTGGGGCCTCACCTTGAAAAAGCTCATAATAGATCCTTTCTGGGTAAATTTTAACCAACATAACCATGGAAAATCCCTCTGGATGTATATATATATATGTATGATATATATATATAAATATCATACATATAAATATATATATATACCAGGGTAAATTATAACGACCTCACGTCGCGACCGAACCCTGGGAATCATGGTGAACGTTAGGGAAATCATCGCCAAATGGCTGAACAATTCAGGTTAGTAAAATATTATAATTTACCCAGATCCTTTGGCATTTAAAGAAGGCTACTTGGTTCAGTTCCAGTCACCTGGTATGGATAATATGCAACCAAATGGATATGCAGATATGCAGGGTTTATATCTCAAGTTATAGAGGTCAAACATGGTCAAAATCTAATAACTAGACCCATAAGATCACTCCAACTATGATTCATCCCCATATTAATCCATAAAAATCTCAAGGTTATCTCGTTAAATCCCTATGTTTGATGGTAAATTCATGTTCTCAAGACAGCCCCAGTTTTGCAGCCCCAAATTGCACCATGGTTTACACCTCGTCAGGTGCCCCCACCTGAACCCGGTGCTGAAGCTCTTGCAGCGATGAAGGTGAAGTGATCGCTGCGTAGAAATGGATTGACCAAGAAAGAAAGTGGATTGATTTACCTTTTGCTCATGGAAATCTAGTATGAATATATGGAAAAATGTTCATGGATTACCTTTTGCTATGGATTTTTCATTTGCTCATTTGAAATAGTTATGGAAAATGGATGAAGATGGCCCATTTTAGATCCAATCTAGTGATTTATGATTTACCTGTTGCAAACCTTGGGATTTGACATTAAAAACATGCTGATTCATACACAACAAAAAATACTTTACTTCGAGTTATCCCCACCATGACATTTATACGTTTTGTTACTCGCAAATCTTCTGGCATTCTATCTGACATATCTTCTGGCATTCTATCTGGTATATCTTCTGGCATTCTATCTGGCATATCTTCTGGCACTCTATCTGACATTTTATCTGGCATTCTATCTGGCAAACATTCTGGCACTTTATCTGGCATATCTTCTGACATTCTTTCTGGTATTCTATCTGGCAAATCTTCTGGCAGATGTTCTGGCAAACATTCTGGCACTTTATCTGGCATGCTTTCTGGCATTCTACCTGGCATTCTATCTGGCATACCTTCTGGCATTCTATCTGGCATATCTTCTGGCATTTTATCTGGCATATCTTCTGGCATTCTTTCTGACATTCTATCTGGCGTTCTATCTGGCATATCTTTTGGCATTCTATCTGGACGTTGAGGTCCAGCGGTGCTCACTGAGCTCGGAGGGTTCCAGGTTGAGGTCCAGCGGTGCTCACTGAGCTCGGAGGGTTCCAGGTTGAGGTCCAGCGGTGCACACTGAGCTGGGAAGGTCCCAGGTTGAGGTCCAGCGGTGCACACTGAGCTGGGAAGCTCCCAGGTTGAGGTCCAGCGGCGCACACTGAGCTGGGAAGCTCCCAGGTTGAGGTCCAGCGGTGCACACTGAGCTGGGAATTTCGAAGACTTGGCGAAGAGTTGGCAAGGCGAGTTTGAAGGGGAAGTGAATGCAGACATGGTCGAGGAGAACTGGAATGGCCGGGATGCGGACTAGGATGGCGATGAAAGGATGAACAAACAACTCTGATAAAATCTAACAAACCCGCACCTGGCAGGTGGAAAAAATTACTCTACTTCGGGTAATCCCCAACCGTGCACATTTATACATTTTGTTACTACTTTTGTTGTTTTTGTTTTTGTTTTTTGTTTTTTTTTGTTGTGGTGGGTTTATATGCATGAGTTAATTGGAGAGGCGTCATAATGGAACCCAACATTTGAGTTGAGAAGAATGACAGGGGGGATCAGTGAGGGAGCCCCCTCCACAACCAAACTTACCCCCCCCCCCCCCGGTGCCCCCCCCCCCGAGACCCCTGCCCCCCCCCCCTTGTTAATATTTGTTTTTACTGGCAAATCTTCTGGCATTCTATCTGGCATATCTTCTGGCCTTCTATCTGGCATATCTTCTGGCATATCTTCTGACATTCTTTCTGGTATTCTATCTGGCAAATCTTCTGGCATATTATCTACTCAAATTTTCTGGCATTCTATCTGGCAAACATTCTGGCACTTTATCTGGCATATCTTCTGGCATTCTATCTGACATGCTTTCTGGCATTCTATCTGGCATAAATATATTCTAACATTCTATCTGGCACATCTCCTGGCACTCTATCTGGCATATCTTATGGCATTCTATCTGGCTTTTGAGGTCCAGCGGTGCGCACTGAGCTCGGAAGGCCCCAGGTTGAGGTCCAGCGGTGCGCACTGAGCTCGGCAGGTCGCAGGTTGAGGTCCAGCGGTGCGCACTGAGCTCGGAAGGCCCCAGGTTGAGGTCCAGCGGTGCGCACTGAGCTCGACAGGTCCCAGGTTGAGGTCCAGCGGTGCGCACTGAGCTAGGAAGGTCCCAGGTTGAGGTCCAGCAGTGCGCACTGAGCTGGGAAGGTCCCAGGTTGAGGTCCAGCAGTGCGCACTGAGCTCGGAAGGTCCCAGGTTGAGGTCCACAGTGCGCACTGAGTCTGGAAGTCCCAGGTTGAGGTCCAGCAGTGCCACTGACTCGGAAAGTGGCGAAGAGCTTGGCGAAGATTGGCAATGCGAAGTGGAGGTTTGAAGTTAATCAGACATGGTCGAGAGAAATGGAAGGAGGAGGAGGCGGAGGACAACAGCTCTGATAAAATCTAACAACTGTCACCTGGCAGGTGGGGAATAAGCGTCAACTCAGAAGGCAAGGATGTTCTTATTGTGCTTGTCCAAACATGGATGATTTAACCAATAAATAAAATACGATTTCATTGGCAATGAATGTAATTTATCTGACTATAATGGCTTTCCCAAAAATGGTTGGTGGTAAAAAAGAAACACAATGATGATCTAGTGGGGATGTACAGCCTGTAGTTGGCACAGTTTGCAATAATCACTTCCCCAGTCATAGTAAACACCCCTCCAAACCACGGTTTATTAGGAAATTTGCACTTATTTGGGACCATAAAAGGGAGGTGTTTAATATTAGGGCGATGGATTATGTATACTTGTAGAAGCAACAAGATATGAGCTGTTCTCTTGATACTGGTACCACCAAAATGGCATTTTTAAGGGACAAATGATGTTAATTACCATGTGACTTTGGGTTTTCCCAAGATTTTCAGACACATCTAAATACCCGCAGTCAGAAGAGGATATTTCAATCACAATTGCGTCTGTCAATCCGGCCCCCGGGCAGAAATCATTCCAGCACATGGTGTTGTCTGGTACTTGGGGAACATTAGTTTTTTGGGGTTTTTGCGGTGGTGTTCGGTTTGTTTTGGGTTTTCTTGTTTTGACTTTGGTGCAACAGGTCTTTGAGTTCGAAAAGCTTCTCCTTATGGGCCTTGCAGGGTTTTTTCTGTAAAAAAAATCCCTGCTGATAGTTTTCAGGACTCATTTTCGCAGGTGGGTGCTCCGATAGAGACGCGGGCTGTATTTTGCAGACCTGTTGTCAGTTTTTAAGCATTGATTTTCGTTTCTTTCCCTGTCTATGGGCGCCCTATGACGGTATTACCTGGAGAGCCAAGGGCGTTGGGCCTTTCATGGAGTTGGATTGCATGGAGTGCTGTTCCTTTCCAACTTCGCTTGTTGCCCCGGGCCCGGTGTGGTCCTCCATGACCTGAACTTTGTGGCTTTGCTGATCCTGAGATTTGGCTCTCGACCGTTTCTTGGCTTTTCGTGTCTTCTTTGCAACATGATCCTAGTCCCTGATGCTCCCAAATGATCCCAATGACCCCATGATACCCTCTGGTAAACTAACATAGCTATTGAAAATTGCCATTTACAGTGAGTTTTCCCATTAAAAATTGTGATTTTCCATAGTTATGTTAGTTTACCAGAGGGTATATACTTACATGGTCCCAAATGATCCCAAATGATCCAACCTGAGGATAATGGCACCCAGCGGTCGATTCGCATCCGTTGTCTGTTCTTTGGGACGTTGCGTGAGTTGGAGCAGCTTTTGGTTTACTTCGAATTTGCGAGGATTTCCAATATGAAAACCAATCAATTGTTTTGTTCTTCCCCACCTGCCAGGTGAGGGTTGTTAGATTTTTCAGAGCTGTTCTCCTCATCCTCCTCGTCCTCCTCCTCTTCCGCCTCCTCCTCCTCCAGTTTCTCCTCGAGCATGTCTGCATCAACTTCCACGTCCACTTCCGCCTTGCCAACTTGTCACCAATCTCTTCGCCAACTTCCGTGCGCAGTGGGCACTGCTGGACCTCAACTGCCGGCTTCCGATCTGAGTGGGCACGGCTGGACCTCAGCCGCCAGGTTCTGAGCGCAGTGGGCACCGCTGGACCTCAACCGCCAGGTTCTGAGCGCAGTGGGCACCGCTGGACCTCAACTGCCGGCTTCCGAGCCCAGTGGGCACCGCTGGACCTCAACCTGGGACCTTCAGAGCTCAGTGGGCACCGCTGGACCTCAACCTGCGACCTGCCGAGCTCAGTGGGCACCGCTGGACCTCAACGGCCAGATAGAATGCCAGAAGATATGCCAGATAGAACGCCAGATGGGATGTCAGAAAGAATGCCAGAAGATATACCAGATAAAATGCCAGAAGATATGCCAGATAGAATGCCAGAAGATATGCCAGATAGAATGCCAGAAGGTATTCCAGATAGAATGTCAGATAGAATGCCAGAAGGCATGCCAGATAAAGTGCCAGAATGTTTGCCAGATAGAACGCCAGAAGATTTGCCAGATAGAATGCCAGATAGAATGTCAGAAGATATGCCAGAAGATATGCCAGATAGAGTGCCAGAAGATATGCCAGAACATTTTGCAGAAGATATGCCAGGTAGAATGCCAGAAGATATGCCAGATAGAATCCCAGAAGATATGCCATAAGATATGCCAGATAGAATGTCAGATAGAATGCCAGATAAAGTGCCAGAATGTTTGCCACATAGAATGCCAGAAGATTTGCCAGATAGAATGTCAGAAGATATGCCAGAAGATATGCCAGATAGAGTGCCAGAAGATATGCCAGAACATTTTGCAGAAGATATGCCAGGTAGAATGCCAGAAGATATGCCAGATAGAATGCCAGAAGCTATGCCAGATAAAATGCCAGAAGGTATGTCAGTAACAAAACGTATAAATGTCATGGTGGGGATAACTCGAAGTAAAGTAATTTTGTTTTCCACATTTTTAGACACACCCAAATATCACATGGGGGCTCTGAAATTAGGAATCCCGCTATGTGCCTCAAGTGTCTCAATACTAGTCGTCGTGGCTATCCATGACGACTGGATGATTTGGGATACCTCCCAGGAAACCTTCGTATGGCAGCTGTATATCCTTTATCCCCACAATGTGGGGCCCCCCAGTTATAAGTTGGTTTATAAGCTCCAGTAACTATAGTATACTATAGTTATAAATACCATAAACCATAGTTATTGGAGTTATTGGCACCAACTTAGCTATCTTGGGGGTCTCACATTGCATCATATGGCAGCGTTTGGTGAACTCTCCAGGCACCAGTGTCTCCGAACCCCGGCACCGCGTCCACCGAGATGATGCGAGAGCCTGAAGCGCTGCGCGGTCGCGGGTGAGGAATCGCAAATGGAAAATCATGGGAAAATCCGATTAATAGCTGGATGAACATAGACCTACATATATATATAATAGGTATGATTATATAAGTATAGCTAGATTAAGGATATCTATAACTAGCATTAACTAGCCCTATATATATCATGTCTATTTCATGGATGATTTTTAGTTTAGCCCTATTTTAGGAAACCTCCAAATGAATGCAAATGAATATGACGCCGAAAATGCTGGTGTTGAACCCCACATATATGGGTTTAATGGTGATATACCGGTGATATATGGTGATGGTATAAATGGAACATGATATGAATGATAATCAACCCAAATATTTGGGTTGTCATGATACTTTCAATGGGACTTTTTACTGATAACCCTGGTCTATAAACCCCAAATATATGGACTTAAATGGGTTTCCCATGCATTTTCCCAAACAATTCTGGGATATTCTGGGACGTTTCTTGAAGGATCACCTTAGTAAGAGCTTCCAAAAAATGGAATTGTAATCCATTTACTGTACCCTCTGGTAAACTAACATAACTATGGAAAATCACCATATTCAATGGAACAATCCACTATAAATGGCCATTTTCAATAGCTATGTTTGTTTACCAGAGGGTATAAATGGAGTAAAGTTCATAACGACCGAACCCTGTTCTCCCGAAGCCTGGGAATCATGGTTTATTTTAGGGAAATCATCCAAAGCCATGGCCGAACAATTCAGGTTGGTGAAATATTATAATTTACCCAGATTTATAAATGGAGTACAGCAAGCCACTTAGAAAGCCAGAGATACTTAGATGACTTACTCACCAAGATAATTATTAACCAGGGTTATTAAGCAAGGACTTACCCAACAAGTTCTTTTTTTACCAGATGATCCTCAAATCCTCGGTGCCGGAATCGGAATCGGGAGTTAGGCCTTGCTTGGATGTGCGGGCCCCACTTAGGATCCGTGGTTTATAAACCCATATATACTATCTGGTTGTGGTGGTTTGGAACATTTTTTATTTTCCATATATTGAGAATAATGATCCCCACTGACTTTCATATTTTTCAGAGGGGTTGAAACCACCAACCAGATATATAACTGAATATATTCCATATTACATTCACTGGGGGTATAGCCCATTTCTCAAGTGGGGCCGCACCCTACTGGAGTTATGACCCACTTGCCAATTGGGATGAGCCAAAAAGAAGATGAGACGTTTGAATACGTTTGAGCCATGGCTGGTGAATGGTTGGTTTTCGTGGTCATTGGTTCAAAGCTACTAGTGGGTTGAAATGTGTCAGACTCTGCCTTTTCTTGGAAGGTCTACGAGATTTGGCATTGAAAGGCGTGACGTTCGCTTCAAACGTTAATATCGTTTCTTCCCACGTTTAGATATCCCTGTCGTTCACATGCTAAAAGTACAGTGGAATCCAAGAATTGGGACATGTTCTAAGCGGAAATTGGGAACTCAAGGATCGTAAATCTGCTGAACTATATTGGGTTTTTGTATAGTTTTTCTGAACTATATCAAAATCCAATATCAGCAGATTGAGACTAATCTAGAAGATGCTTTTGAAACTCATAATTCTGTCAAATACAGAAGAGAAAATAGTTATTAGTTTGAAACTCCAATGGGCGACTGGCAGCCGTATATACTTGGTCCTTCCAGAAGGCCCAGTACATCAGCGCCGGTCCACTGAAACCCAGGGTCTGTGGCCGCACCCACTACTCCACTGGCCTGACCCGATCAGGTGGCTGGGGGACGTGCGACCTATCGCAGTTGGAACTATGATTTACAGACTTTGGTCCTCATTGCGACTCATGATCAGCCCTCACCGGATTGCTCAGCCGGCCCCACTGGCGGGGCCCAGATGCGCAGGAGCTCCTCTTGTCTTTGGATTTGGCATATGACTCTGAGTCGTACGCATGCGGCGCGGCTATGGACTTCAAAGCTTTTGATCTGTTGTGATTACCATCTGTGAAGAAATTTGCTTCGCCAATCTTCGCCACTTGGACCTTTTCCGATATCCATGAAGGCATACAAAGGCCCAATTTGCACCTGGTTTCCTCCCGGAATTGGGTCCAAAGCCCTTCTACCATTTTGTGAAAACGCCAAAAGACGGTTGTGGATCTTCATCCCCCTGGAATATGAATGAATCTGATATCACGCTTGGTGATATATCCATATATATATATATCATCCTATGTCCGAATTATAATATACCCTCTGGTAATTTAACATAACTATCGAAAATCACCACTTCTAATAGGTAAATCAACTATTTCAATGGGCCATTTTCCATAGTTTTTTGTATGTTTACCAGAGGGTACCCAATAGTATCCCCAATGTCAAGGGACAAAAAGGTAACCCAAGAGTTTTTCTCGGATTCAACATCAACTCAGCGCTTGGTCCACCTGGCCGCCTTGGCGAAGCAGCTTCAGGTCGGGCTTCAGCAAGAAGATCATGGGCGATTATGTTCAACTTTCAGAGGAGATGATGGATACGGGACGAACGGGATGAAGAGCCCCAGTCGAAGTGGAGGATTTTGGTGACGGATATTTCAGTAGATTTAAGCAACAAAGATGCTTTGGTATAATATGGTATAATGGGATATCATGCGGATAGGGGGAAATCTGGATGATATAATAGTGACCTCAGGTGGTGATGGGAATGATAACCGGGTAACTCTATCGAACAATTTCAGGGGAATCATCCCCAGTCATGAGGCATCCGGATTTTCAAGTGAACCGACGACGTTTGCAGAAGCAGTAGCTGCGGCCACTTTCGACGAGCGAGTCAGGTCTCGAGCCTGGGCTGTAGCCCAGATACACTCCAAAGCTCTAGGAAGTGCGGATATAGGCCGTGAAACATTGGAGGAGTTACGGAAGGCTGCTCAGGCGGCGGGTGACACGCGTTATTCAAACTTTGATGCGACCAAGGAAAAGCAGCGACAGCAATTGGCTGCAAAGAATCGCGCGGGTGGTAAATAACTCCTATGATCTCAGGATCATGTTGCTCTGTAGAGCTTAATTTGATCACTGCAGCCCATGGGCTGCTCGGTTGCATGATCACTATAGGGAGTTATTCTACCCTGGGATCAATTAAGTTGATAGTATTTTTTTCATACATTACATATATAATTACATTACATATATACATTACATATATATATATATGGTGGATATTTCCGTTTCGTCATTGCCTGATGACTTAGTGACGACTGCTTCACCATGGTGTTCATATGGATTTTTTTCCCTCCCCCTCCTTGGAAGTGCAGTTCCAACGATATATCCCAACTTCTGGAGGTTTAAGTGAGCCGACTGGATGGGTTGTTTTATCTTTTGCTTTAAAAGGATTTTCTACTATCCAACCAACAGTTCCATTTTTGTTGCCGGGTATCTAAGATTGGCAATGTTTGGATATATATATATATATATATAGTTGATAACCATTATAGTATATTATAGTTATATTCGAATCATTTGGTTGCAATCAATTAATATAAGATATTGATATCATCTTATATCAGATTGGTTTTCTCTCCGTATCCCAACGAACATGGATGATAATATCTTATATGAATCATTAATATTCTATTTTCCGTATTCTATAGAGAGGTTCATTACCATATTTTCAAAAGATATTAATATATCCCATGGTTCATTACCCACAAAAAAAAAAAACATGGACTGCACCAGTAGGATGGCTTGAGCGCCACGTATACTGGTCAGACCGGGTTGGAGCCTTACCCAAGAGCGCCGTTGCAGCGGTAGCCTCGCGTGGTGAACAGAAAGCCTGGTTGATTGGTTATGAACTCAGGATGTATATGGGTTTTTAAGCATCAAACATGGAGATACCACATGATATAACCTGATACAACTATCTATAAGAAAAAATGCTGGTTGATAGGTTTAATTGTTGGGACTACCACATCTATTGGGGGATTTACCCTCTGGTTATTTAACATAGCTGTGGTATAGATGGCGCATAGAAATAGATGGTTTACCTATTCATAGCATGGTGGATCTTTCCATGGCTATGTTAGTCATAACCAGAGGGTACATCCTATTAAATCCCATTAAACTACCATAAATCCCTGTTAGTCATAACCAGAGGGTAAATCCTTTGTGTTTTCTTGAAGGGATTCCTCCCGAGGCACGAAATGCATGGTGGCCTCGTGGGAAATTATCCGCCTGGAGCCCAGGGAAAGGGCGACCGCGAGCGAATCTCTGAAGGAATGGCAGGCAGTTGACATGATCCAAAGATCCCATAATCATATCCCGTTATGGATTCCGGAGGGAGAATCTATGGGATGTATAGACCTTGGTTTTTCATGGTCTAACGGCGCCTTTTGGGCGCATGATGGGTCAAACCCCCAGTTAGATTCATGGAAGATCCCATTGGATTGGGATGAAATATGGCTTAGATTACTCTTTAGTAGACTAACATAACTACAATGTGAGCCCCCGTTAGATAGCGAGATGTTGGCGAACAGAAGTCCAATAACTCACTATGGTAACTATGGTATGCAAATAACGAACTAGTTACTGGGGCGAATCTAAACCCACTTCATAATGGCAACTTATGCACCTGATGAATCAGTGCCCTGGTATCCCGAAGTGTGGCTATAACATGTCATGTACAATTGGATTCCTTGTGTAATTTACTGTTTATATATTATGTCCAATGTTGATTGTTGTTAATTCAACCGCAGTTTTCAAGATCAATCACCTCCATATCTTCCTTAGCACCCGAAATGATCCAACACCCTGTCACTTCGCGGTCCTACTAAGTTATAAGTTGGTTTATAAATCATGATATAACCCCCATGAATACTATAGTTATAACATATTATAACTACCATAAACCATAGAATTCAGCCACTTATAAGGCAGATGATGACCCACTTAAAGTGAGATCCAAGAGTTGTATTCCGAGGTGCCCGCAGTTTGATCCTCGATGCCAGGTTGGCCAAAGACGGCGGCGTACATTTCACGGTGGAGTTGACCAAGATACGCAAGGACATGATGGACGGTACGGGAGCCCAAACTGCTTGGTGGTTTTGAACATTTTTTATTTTCCATACGAATTATATGGGATAGTCCTTCCCATTGACTAATATTTTTCAGAGGGGTTGAAACCACCAACCAGTAAATCAAGTTGACAACGGAGATGTTTTATGGGGAACCAGTGGGGATTTATATCAACCTATGGTTTGTATGTCAGATATATCCAACTTATCCAACTATAGTTTTTCGATATCTTATCATATGGTTATTAGATACATCCAACTATAATTCTGATTGGTGCTTTGGAACATTTTTCCATATATTGGGAATAACCATCCCAACTAACGAACTCATATTTTTATTTTCCCCAATAGTTGGGATGATGATCCAATCTGACGAATTCATATTTTTCAGAGGGGTAGGCTCAACCACCAACCAGCAATGATTCGAGGATCCTCGGTAGACGCATATCATTTCGGCATATGGCGGATTTTCGATGTCCGGAGTGATCCTTTTCCGAACAATTGTTTAGTAGATGATATAGTGTTTGGAAAGTGACATACATTTGTATTCATGTACGCAATATTATATATAATATGCTTATTTTTTAATACATATATATTAATATATATATATATACGTACATATATATATACATATACATACATAATATACAATACATATATATGCTTCATTTTTCACAAAATATGCTATATGTTTTTGAATTTTATATGTAATAATATATATATATATTAAGAAAAACATAGATATGTGCGGGAACAATAGACGGATTTACCACATATGTATATATATATATATATATGTACATAATATATATATATATATGCACGCATGTTTGAAGCAACATGTTTTCTTTAAAAAATACACAATCTATACTATATACTCGGCTGCTTGTCTTCAAAGTACGCAAGATTGCAATCTAGCACATCTAAACATGTTCTTATAGCCGCCACGTGATTTCGAGGCTTCAATATATGATGCATAACTAAAGTTTCCCTCAGCTGATAGTACGACCATATCTGATGTCACAACTATGTTTCAATACCTCCAATAACTCCAATATCCTTTGTGGCTGATGATGCCACTAGAAACCCAACAGCTAATTTAGTTATAAACCATAGTAGCCGGCCTGGTAAACATACAAAAAACTATTGAAAATGGTCCATAGGAATAGTTGATTTACCTATTGAAAATGGTGATTTTAGATGGTTATGTTAGTTTACCAGAGGGTATAAACCAACTTAGGCAACTAGGAGGCACCATGTCTTGTATCTTTGTATAGACGAAGAATAACGACTTCATTGGGCCATCACTCGAATGATACTAGCGGGAATCATCCCCAAATAGCCTTGCTTCAGCTTAGTGAAGGATTACACTTCATTCATGTATACCAAAATATACACAAATATTTATGTATATTTTTATCTAAATGTTCATATATCCATATATATATTATTTGCACATAGATGTAATAACTAATATGTATATATATATACGTGTATGACAAACCTGGCTGATGATCTTCCCACTCCTGTAGCTTCCCCTGCCCCAAGGTTTGACTCTGGGCGTCACCACCAATGCCCCCAGCGCGCTGGATGAGATGACTGACACCATCGAAGGAGTTCAGGTGGACGGTGTTGACAAGTTGGGATGTATAATCCCTATAATTCAGGTTGTACAGCCACTTGTAACGTCAACTGCACCCCCAAGAACCAGCCATCTAAACATCTACTCTCTGGTTATTTAACGTAGAGGTAGCGAACTGGAACATAATCATGTTTGATCGGTAAATCATCGTTGTTTCATCTATACATGGGCCATGGCTTCCATAGCGAGTTGTAAAATAACCAGAGGGTAATTCATGATGGTAATGGTAATTTTCCATAAATCCGTTGTATCCAACTGGGTAATACTATTAAGTTCCTTCAAAATTCCTATAATCATCTACAAATCGATATAACGTACCATGATTTTTCTCAATTTAGATACGATTGGTTCATGATACCCATGAGGTTTACCCTCTGGTAAACTAACATAACTATGGAAAATCACAATTTTTTATAGGTAAATCAACGAACTAAATGAGACCAAATGGGCCATGTTTAATAGCTATGTAAGAGTCATTGCCAGAGGGTACATTGCCTAACATTAAAGCTCTCTGGGCCCCACATGGCAGCAATCCTCAGCAAATTGCGGGTTCGGATCGTCGAGTCGTCGAGGCATGTTGGACAGTGGGCTACGATGGGCAGATGTATGATGCACAGGAGGATCGAACCTTGGCCCAACAACGAACCTCATAATGTCAAGCCTGGATGAATAAACCCCTACCCTCTGGTAAACATACAAAAAGCGAACTGGAAAATCACCATTTTCAATGGGGAAGTCCACTATAAATGGGCATTTTCAATAGCTATGTTAGTTTACCAGAGGGTAATTAGGCTGTTTAATTTCGGGGGGGGGTACCATTGAAGTATCAGATTATGACTATTGGGGAAGTACCCCCCTAGTTAATAAACTATATGAACTATGGTAACTATTAGTCCGGGGTTGACATCACCAACAAGAGTCATAGCAACATGAGTACCTGGGTGCTCTATCCCATCTTATGTGGGCAAAAATCCCATGGTTATACCTATTAATAACCTCAACCGCACTCCTAAGTACCCTCTTGTAATTTAACATAACTATGGAAAATCATTATTTTTATTAGGTAAATCAACTATAAATTGGCAATTTTCCATAGCTATGTTAAATTACCAGAGGGTACTGTGTATATTAATGTCATTGTATTCCAGTAAATGTCATTAAATGTGCCATTAAATATGCCATTAATCCCATTAATGTCATGATATTCCCATTAATGCAATGATGATGTAATTTCATATCATTGTATTCCAGTAAATGCCATGAAATATGGTATACAATGATATTAAATAATTACATATTACATAATCATTACATAATTAAATATGGTATACAATGATATTAAATAATTACATGATATTACATAGTCATTACATAATTAAATATGGTATACAATGATATTAAATTACATAATCATCGTGATTTAACGACAATTTAACGATGTTTCAGCATCCTGGTACCCTGGGTACCCAAGGATGGACGGACCTGGCATGGCACGGCCTTGGGAGCCCAGCTAGTGGTGGATTGGGGAAGTATCACAGTTGGTACCCGGACAGTTGTGATTCAATGGAATTTATTGTGATTTAATGGGATTTATAGTGATTTAATGGGATATTCATGGGTAAATGATGGTTGATTGGCTTTTTTGGCCTGGTAAACGTACAAAAAACTATGGAAAACCACCATTTTTCATGGCTAAATGCACTATAAATCACCATTTTTCATGGCTAAATGCCCATTTAGTTCGTTGATTTACCCATTGATAGCATGGTGATTTTCCAGTTCGTTATGTAAACGTTTACCAGAGGGTATGTGGTTATCAATCCATACCTGGTTGGTGGTTTGGAACATTTTTTATTTTCATAGTTGGGATGATGATCCAATAGTTTGGAACGGACTTCAGAAGAGATCAATGGGAGTTTCAGGATCCTAAAATGCAGGTACTGTACCATATGTCAGGCAATATTTTGTGGAGATATTAACTGAAATCAAGGCCTTAATGTAGGCCTTATATATGGTAGGTACCTCCGGTCTAGGTTCCTGAAATGGCCATTGATTGGTATGTGGTTATCAATCCATACACGCGTATGTGTACATATGCGGTAATGGGAAATATCCCAAAAATATACATAGATACACACTACATATGCATGTATGAGTATGAATATATTATAGATATAACATGGAAAACATCCCATGCATTAGTAATTGGGTCATAATTCATAATGTAGTTTTTAGTCACTTAGGAAGATGAGAGCACATCAAGTAGCAAGCCAAACTTTTCTACTTGAAAGGGGCTGCTTAGGGGTCCTCCAAATAGATAGATAGAACAGTCACTGCCCTGTATTTTGATGGCGATCTACTGTTCTATCGTTTTGGAGGCATCTATATACAGCTTACTACCCTTAAAACAGGATGCTCAAACTGTAACTGCCGCCAAAATCCGCGACTCTGTTGCCCGCCCTGAAACCGTTGCATGAAAAAATCCCAATGAAACAAGAACCAAAAACAATTATCCTCAAAATTGATGAAGTAACGAACACAAGATGTAACTATCAGATTTACATGAAAATGTTTCCAACATAGACGTGTTGATGAAAACCTACGGGCCATCACGTGGGTTGATTTGTGGACCCAGGGTACTTTTGGAGGTACCTTTGTTCTCCATGATAACGATCATGACACAAGTGACAATCATAATCATGAACATCGCCAATAAACATGTTCATATTTCATGTCTAACCCACCAGAATCTATAACTATCATTGGGGATTGAAATCTAGATTTGCTAGAGATTTATGTAACCATAACTGGTTGGTGGTTTGGAATATTTGGATTAGTTTTCCGTATATCGCGAATTTCATCATCTCAACTGACGAACTCATATTTTTCAGAGGGGGTGAAACCACCAACCAGTTATAATGTGTTACTGTATTTATTTTAATCATTTGGTTACAATCAACTAAAATATCAGATTGTTTTTTGAGGTACCCCAACGAACATGGGTCATTTCCCAGATCAGTAATTTATCTTTGTAAATTCCTATTTTTGATGCAACAAATCCCATGCACATGGGGCATTTCATGTCAATTTTCTGCAGTGATGTGACTGTTGCTTCTTGGGCTCATCAGACCCCAAAAGCCATTTTTGCTTAGCTTGGTTAGAAACCAACAGACTAAACGAAATCATGCGCAAAAAAACGCGATTTCCTGGTAACATCGCATTTTGATCTACATTTTCCGTCGTCAAATCCCCAGTTTTCCGACTTCAATCGCAATTTTCTCTGGAAAATCACCATTTCTCGTGCTTGTGAAACCACCAGAAAACAGCACATTTCTGTGGGTTTCGCTTCGCCAGCAGGTCGTGACCTGCGGGTGGGTGACCGGGTGGCTCTCCAGATTACTGAGGTGGGTCACTTGGAAGATACCACGGTCCAAGTATATTGGTTGGTTGTGGTTTTTTTTTGGTCACTACATCCCCAACCAAGGAAATGATGGTTAAATGGGATTTTTTGGTCACTACAAGGTGGTTTTTAAGTCCATATATTGGTTGGTTGTAGTTTTTTTGGTCACTACAAGGTGGTGCCCCGGTTTGGACCAGCTAACTTGGTGCAAATAAGTCCAATTTCACTAGGGTTGATGAATGGGGGGTTATATCTATAGTATTCATGGGGATTATAAACCAACAAACATCACTAGGGGGTACCACCTTGTACATCCCCAACCAAGTGGTGATTAATAGTGATCATATATACTCTGGTTGGTGCTTTGGAACCATGGAATTTTGAAGGACTTTCCCATCATATTGGGAATGTCATCATCCCAACTGGTCCGAACTCCATCATTTTTCAGAGGGGTTGGCCAGTAGTGATTTACCACATCCCCAACTGGATGGGTAGTTGGACCACCTTGAGTTTTTTTGATGTTTTGTTGCTATGGAAAATAACCATAGCGACAGATTTTATGAAAATTCCTCGTGAACTACCGCAGATTGACCATGACTAGCTGGTTGGTGGTTTCAAACATGAATTTTACCATGTTTTTTAGGCTGAAGAACCATTATAGTGACCATTAAATAGTGACCATCTGGTTGGTGGTTTGGAACTTTTTTTCCCATAATAGATGGGATGTCATCCTTCCCATTGACGAACTCCATCATTTTTCAAGATGGTTAAAACATGTTAAAACCACCAACCAGGTGGGCTAGTTCCATTGATGGTGAACTAACCCCACTGAACCATGATCGGATTCGTGAACGATTCGTGGATTATGCCATTGTAAGATGTTATTACCCTCTGGTAATTTAACAGAGCTATTGAAAATGGCCATTTATACTGAGTTGTCCCATTAAAAATGGTGATTTTCCATGATTTTCCATAGTTATGTTAGTTTACCAGAGGGTAATGGGTGAAGTTGCCAAACCACTTATGAGTTCTGGGATGATCCTTCTAGCAGTCATAAATTGGAAAACCTGCAAACATGGAAGGTTTGACCTAGCAAGTTATGTGGATTTAGTTCGCTAAGTTGGTTATGACTACACTAACTGTTGGGTCTTTGGTGGTCAAAGAACTGGAGGTGTCCCAAAATAGGGGTACTCCCAAATCATCCATTCTAATAGGAGTTTCCAGTATAAGCCATCCGGCTATTGGGGTACCCCTGTATGGAAACCTTCAACTGAGTAATAGAATTAACAAGTACTCGTACAACCAGGAGGCAAAACACATGACATGGGGATAGCACGTGCCGCTGGGGCTTCAACATGAAGGTAGAACCGTTTGGGAGAAAAACCAACCGAAATGGGCATACCCTCGGGTAAACTTTTACATAACTATAGGAAATCACCATGCTATTAATGGGTAAATCAACGAACTAAATACGCCATTTTCACTAGCTATTTTGACATAACCAGAGAATATTAGGGGATATTGAAAAACCAACGCTCTGATATGGGCCATATGGGTTTGACCAAAAATTGGCTATGCCAGCTAAATGGACATTTCGATAGGAACATGACAAGATGAGGAAAACCATGTGATTTAGGGGTAGCCTATTTTCAGACAAACCCTCTGGTAAATCAACAGTTCGACCCTGGCAGTCATCGGGGTTGGAAGACGAGTTTCCACTAAAACCTGCAGTTATGGCCCTTTACCAGCTATAAGCACTTTATAATCCATTACCAGTAGTACCGCACAAGGCGGTGGCGGAAGTTTCAGAATAGGAAACCTATAGGAGACGTTGGTTGTTGTGAATCACGGATGGCAGAGCGAATCCACTGATTGACCGAAAGGTGGTTGGAGTTGTGTTTGCTGGAATGGTTGCAATGGTTGCAGTGGTCACCTCACCCACAACTGCTGGATGTAGTGTGATGTACTGCAACTGTAGTTGTAGTTGTAGCGTAGTGGAGTTGTAGTTGTGGTGTAATGTAATTAGTGTAGTGTAGTTGCAGTCATATAGTTGTAGCTGTAGTTGTTTTTGTTGTAGTTGTAGTTGTAGTTGTTGTAGTTGTAGTTGTTGTTGTAGTTGTAGCTGTAGTTGTTGTGTGGTTGTAGTTGTTGTGTAGTGGTGTAGTAGTAGTAGTAGTGTGTAGTGTAGTTGTAGTTGTAGTTGTAGTTGTTGTAGTTGTTGTTGTTGTTGTTGTTGTTGTTCTGTTGTTGTTGTTGCTGTTGTTGTTGTGTGGTGTGGTGGTTGTTGTTGTTGTTGCTGTTGCTGTTGCTGTTGTCGTCGAAGTTAGGGTAGTTAAGTTAGTGAAGTTAGTTAAGTTAGTCAAGTTAGTTAAGTTAATCAGTGTCTACTTTTTCGACATCTTCACGTCAAAAAAGGCTCAAAACCCTCAGTTGTTTACACTTTTGACTTCGAAATGTGCTTCGCGCCACAACGGCGTGCACTTTTTCGCAACTTCCAAAAGTGGTCCGAGACCGCCAGTTTTAACACTTTTGACTTGGAAATGTGCTTCGCGCCACAACGGCGTGCACTTTTTTGACATCTCAACTTCCAAAAGTGGTCCGACGCTGAAGTGTTTTGTGCATTTTGACTTGGAAATGTGCTTCGCGCCACAACGGCGTGCACTTTTTCGACATCTCAACTTCCAAAAGTGGTCCGAACCCCTGAGGTGTTTTGTACATTTTGACTTGGAAATGTGCTTCGCGCCACAACGGCGTGCACTTTTTCGACATCGCAACTTCCAAAAGTCGTCCGACGCTGAGGTGTTTTGTACCTTTTGACTTGGAAACGTGCTTCGCGCCACAACGGCGTGCAATTTTTCATCGCTCCTGTGACCAGCTGGCTCCGCAGCTAGCGAGCCTACTTTTCGACCCTCCTGAGCCACAAATCATTGGAAAAACACAGTGTTTCGCGACTTTCCTACCTTTTCGCGCATCTGTATCTTCTTTCTTCTGACTCTTTCTCTTCTCATCTTCTCTCTTCTAATCTTCCTCTTCTCTCTGCCTCTCCCCTACTCTGCTTTTCATCTGTCCATATTGTCGGAATTTTGACTTCTAAACTTCCTTCGAATAGAATATATAATCCCATTTATAACCAGTCTGATAAATGGCCATATCTGTGGTTATTTTCAAGGTCAAATTGTTCATTTACCAGAGGGAAAGTCATATGCCATATATGGATTTGCCGTGAAATGTGGCCTACCCCAACAGCTGCACCATTGCATCTTAGGTTTAGGGATATATCATATATATCTATAATGGGGGTTGTAAAAGAAAAAACATCACTGGGGAATCCTCACCCTGTAAGAAACTCCAAAATGGAGACCTTGCAGACCTGTCGAGGGGCGCAGAAATTCGACCCATCCCCAGTGGTAGGCAGAAATTCAACCCTCCAATCTCCAGCTGGCAGGCAGGCCAGATGAGAATCTATGTGACTCTTGGCCAGATTTTTGTGTTCACCAGTTGTCGCTCCGCCTGGCTTTGAATTATGAACTTGGGAAAATCCACTGAGTTGGTCCACCAGGTTGGACTAGCCACTTATAGCTACCCTGTGCTCACCAGTTTCTTGTGAGATTCCATCATTGTTTTGGAAACCACTGAAATTGAGCACCTACTTAGGTCGTACCAGAGCCTTTTTTGCATAGTTTTGGATATGGCCATTGAATTCCTAGTAGAACCTTTGGGAAATCCATGGACGTTCACCCATGTGCTGAAAGAAATCGTCTCTCAAAGGATTTCTTCAAGCCAAGTGGTTGGTACTTTTCCAGTACAAGAGCAACACGATACTCTCTAAATTTAACATGGAACCCAAGCATGGCTATATCATGCTATATTCCCAGTTTGTCATAGAAAAATCATTTTTCAGATCCAAGTGTCTGAAGGTTCCATGTAAACCATTGGTGTATTCAAAATACAGTCGTTTTCTTGACATTCAATGTAATATTCCATATATCGTCGAAACTGTTGGGGACCAAAAGCGGCTGAGGAATGGAAAGTTCGTGGTTGATGCACATGCTGGCATTCCTTGTGACAGGCGCGGTGCCGCGCATCGTGGGATGTTCGAAAAATTGTGGGATCATCCAACCTTTCGATACCCATATCATCCCATATCTATATATATAGATAGAAATCAAACACATATGATTATTGTTTAAAAAACAACTTGATATGGTTGATTTTTAAGTTGGGTGTTGCTTTTGTCTCTGTATATAATTTTTAGTGCACCAGTATCAGTGGTTCTATAACTGCAGTTTGTTGCGAAAATCTCCTGTCGACTTGGTCAATCTTGTCAGAATCCTTTTTGGTTCTTTGTGATCGGATGTGGGTGTGTCTGAAAATAGTGTACCCCTGTGTACCCAATGGTTAATGATCAGACAATCCCTATTAAATGGCTATAATTGGGAATATTGAATATACCCTATTTTCAGACAAACCCATGTGTTTATTCTTTATCTTAATCCATATTAAGATCTTAAGTTCTTTGTAATCTGAATATTCTTAATACATATCTTTCTCGAAATTTGACTATCTCAATCTTAATCAGATTCTTATTCTTGGATCAAATGATTAAGACAGTCAATTTCTGGAATCTCTCCGAAATGATATGTCTTTATATATATGGTCACCGCCCCCCCCAGAACCCCCATATTGAGGATTAGGGCGCTGACTATATATAAATACATTGGAAACAACAATGAGTCATCCCTTCAAAACACTCTATCTATATATATACATAAATAATTCCAAGACTGCGGTCTATTACTGCAGTAACAGAAATCTTTTTTAAAAACTATTATTTTGACACACTTTGGCTGATTGATATCTCCGTTTCCACGGTGGCATGCCATCTGATTTGTCAAATACTTATGGTTTGTGTTGCTTGCTGGCCTGTTTCTTGTTTGAATTCAACAAATCGACAACTTAATGTCCGGCAGCATTCTTGTTGCTTCAATTCCGCACCAATCGAGACCAGTCTGATCCGAATATCGAGCGGCTCATTGAATTCCCCAATGTTTTTTTCTGATTTCATCTCCACTTGATGTTTCAGCCCCCACCAAAAGCTGATGAATTTCATGGAATTTCCATGTTTGTCGATTCAATCCCAGTTGTTGTTGGTTACCCTATAGGGCAAACTATGGGTTTTGCACCTCTTCTTGTATGTTTACCCCAAGGTAACCACAGCATACCACAACTTTTTTGTGAATACAATCTATAGATTTATTCCATTCATTCCCATAATATCCCAAATTACTCCATTAATTACCATTAATTCCCAGTATTCCATTAATTATTCCATTAATTATTCCATTAATTATTCCATTAATTATTCCATTAATTACCATTTTATAATTCATCATAGATTCCTAGATATTCCTATACATTCCCACATATTTTCATTAATTCATAGTCCCAGAATTCATCATACAAGGTGGTGCCCCATAGTTAGCTAAGTTGGTTCAAATAACTCCCATTTCACTATGGTTTATGGCAGATAGAACTAAAGTATTCATGGGGTTTATAAACCAACGTTCACATCACTGGGGGGCACCATCCTGTAGATTCCATAGATTCCCATTACCCTCTGGTAAACGTTTACATAACTATGATGTTGGTTACCCTATAGGGCAAACTATGGGTTTTGCACCTCTTCTTGTATGTTTACCCCAAGGTAACCCAGCATACCACAACTTTTTTGTGAATACAATCTATAGATTTATTCCATTCATTCCCATAATATCCCAAATTACTCCATTAATTACCATTAATTCCCATTAATTCCCAGTATTCCATTAATTATTCCATTAATTATTCCATTAATTACCATTTTATAATTCATCATAGATTCCTAGATATTCCTATACATTCCCACATATTTTCATTAATTCATAGTCCCAGAATTCATCATACAAGGTGGTGCCCCATAGTTAGCTAAGTTGGTTCAAATAACTCCCATTTCACTATGGTTTATGGCAGATAGAACTAAAGTATTCATGGGGTTTATAAACCAACGTTCACATCACTGGGGGGCACCATCCTATAGATTCCATAGATTCCCATTACCCTCTGGTAAACGTTTACATAACTATCGAAAATCACCATGCTATCAGTGGGTCAATCCACTATTTCAATGGTCATTTTCCAGTTCGCAAACTGTTGACATAACCAGGTTGGGTATTTCCCATTCATCTCCCAGGTCATTTTTGTTCAATCCCAGTTGTGCACATCGTCCAACTCGTCCAGGCCACTGTTCGCGTTGGTGGATCTCATCGGAACGGCAGATGGCGCCGCTTGCCGATTGTGAATGGCACCATTCATTGGATTGGTTTAAGGGAAAATCTACAGGAAACCATGGTTTTTACCATCAAATATAGGGCTTTCCGGTTTCAATTTTCCCATCATCCAAGTCTATGAACCATGGATTGAGCATTCGTGAACTTATCATCAGGCAGTTATGGCCATTTATTAGTTATAACTGGTTATAAATGGGATTATACATTCTATAAATGGGATTATAAGTACTTATAACTGGTAAAGGGCCAAAATTGTGAGGAGAGTTTATGATTATAATCATGATGATGATTATTGAAAATACCCCATGTATAGTTGATTTACCTCTTCAAAATGGGGAAGATAATAATCTCTAATAATAAGATACTGGTTGGTGGTTTAGAACATGAATTTTATAACTTTCCATTCAGTTGGGAATTTCATCATCCCAACTGACGAACTCATGTTTTTCAGAGGGGTAGTTATACCACCAACCAGATTATCATGATGATGATTATTATCATTCTTATCAACATTATCAAGATTATTATGATCATGATGAATAGTAAAATTATGATGATGATTAATTATAGAATTACTCTTTTTATCAAAATTATCTGTTGGTGATGTACTTTTTTTCCTGTTCATAAGCAGGGAGCGAGCCGCGAACGCCATCGGCGATGGTGAGATCCGCAACTTTCAGTTCTTTCCGCAACAGTTAAGCATTGGTTGATAATTCATTGGGCTAACTGATCTGGTTGGTGGTTTGGATTTTTTTTTTTAATTCTACCCAATAGTTGGGATGATGATCCAATCTGACTCATATTTTTCAGATGGGTTGAAACCACCAACCAGTGATTAATTGGGGGAATAATCATTGTGTTTACCCAATGACTGATATTAAGCCAATGAATTTTCATCATGATCAGTTAGTTAACCCAATGATTGATGTTAACTCAATGATTGATGTTAAGCCAATGAATTATCACCATGATCAGTTAGTCAAGCCAATGATTGATGTTAACCCAATGATTGATGTTAACTGCTGATCAATTGGGGATAATTGGTTGATGATAGTTATCATCATGATCAGTCATTAACTATCATCATGTGTGTCAATAGTTCATTGATTATATTAACCCAATAACACCAGTTAATTGTCATATTGGATGAACTGATATTAACTGGTTGATATTGATGATATTGGTTGATTGCAACCATGATGAACACAGTGAAACAAATTTAACCAATGAACTATTGACACATATGGATCATATGGTTGTAGTTAATGACTGATCATGATGATAACTATTTCTCAAATGGCAAATTATTGTTAATTGATTTTTTTTATTGTCCAATACTTACCTGCGTAAGTGGCTATGGAATAAGTTGCTGATTTGTGAATTAATGGCATTGGTATTTGGCTACCAGATTCCAAAAAGCAACTGGTTGCTAATGTGGGGCAATACCAAATGCCATCAATAATAATCAAGGAGGGTGTTCTTGGTAAAAAAAGGGGAAAAAATCCAGGAAGCCATCGATTTTCCTTTTAAATCTGGTGCTTTCCGGTTTCAATTTTCAAACCAATCCATCGACCCGACTAAAGATGGAAAGTAGAACCATCTACTTTTCAAACCAATCCATTTCTAACTAATTATTTAACATAGCTATGGAAAATCACCATTTTTAATGGGAAAATCCACTATTTTTATGGTCATTTTCAATAGCAAACTGTTAAATTACCAGAGGGTAATCATTTAACTATCTTTAAAGTTCAATCTTCAAACCCTAAATCTATACATCCTTCTAAGTAGATGAGAAGTAAACAGATCGGGCCAATGCTCGATCTTTGTTTCCTTAGAGGCGGGCAGTATCCCAAAATAGGGATCCCTAGGGGAAACATACCAAAAGATGTGGAAAACTCAGGGGGAAACCACGGAAAATCGTCTACCAATGGTTGATGTTTATTGATTTTCCCAACCTATCTTAGCTTATCCTGGTCCTAAAGTATGAAAATCAATGTTCATTGCTTTATTCTATTATGACCTACTTATCTTAGGATTGATGTTCTTAGTTTAGGGTATATCCCAAAGTCCAATTTTCATCGTTTGTTGAGCAGGTGATCAAGTTACTCCTACAACCATGATGTTACCGTGAGTTTATTACAGATAGGTGATATATGATGATTACGCCATATAGCTGTGATGAAACGTGAACAAAAATGGATAAACTTGGAATACCCTTTGGTAAACAAACATAGCTATTGAAAATGGCCCATTTATAGTTGATTTACCTATTAAAGATGGTGATTTTCCATAGTTATGTTTGTTTACCAGAGGGTAATAACTGGAGAAACCAACAAGACTTGACCAAATCTCCAACTAAGAACAGGGATTTTTCTTTGGGCGAACCTTGGATGGGGATATGTAGAATAGCTTCCAAAAAAAGCAGAGTATCTACGATTTCAGTGGCTGAATTCTGTGGTTTGTGGCAGATATAACTATAGTCAATGGGGTTTATAAACCAACTTACATCTGGGGGGCATCATCCTGCAGGTTCATCTTCATTTTTTGTGATTGAATAAACGGAGAATTTTAACAACACTGGGCAGAGATGTTGGATACGACCAAGTCAAGTAGACTTGGATTGTTTTACCAACAAAGGTGCACAAATTAACAGCGTAATTGGGGATACAGCAATCAACATTGGTACCCTCTGGTAAACAAACATAACTATGGAAAATCACAATTTTTAATGGGTAAATCAACTATAAATGGCAATTTTCAACAGCTTTTTGTATGTTTACCAGAGGGTATATGAGAGACGAAAAAGGTATGTGCAGCCAATCAAGGACGGTCAGTTCTCTCCCCTATGAATAGGCACCTATATAAAGAATGTGCAGGTTTAAAACCTTACGATGACATTTGTTGAACACTGGCTTGCTCTGCAGATCAGATTACATCCCAGTGATGTGAATGTTGGTTTATAAAACCATCAACTAGTTCGTTGTATCATGATATATCTAGCATAAACCATAATTAAGTTATGTTAAGCTAGTTATTTGCACCAACTTAGCTAGAGTTAACCAACTTAAATCCCCCAGGGCAGCCCAAGAGTTCTAAAATCTGAGGTGAAGCTTCTGCTTGACGCACCGTTGCCGGACCGTGTCTTGGCGGTCTTGTGTTTACGGAAAAAACATCGGAAAATGGTGACTGAACCAGCAAAAATGAGGATGTCATGGGATTTGTTTATAGCTAATTAATTATTGCTATGTTGGTAAACATCACTCCAAGAACTATAGAGTTTATGAATGTTCATGATACTTATAACTATGGTTATTGGCAAACCAACTTATAAGTGGAGGCCCCCCAAAAATATATGGGTCAAGCCATTCAAGACGAAGGGGACCACTGATTTTAGTCTACTGTATTGTAAAGCAATATGAGCGATGTAACTGTTGCCCAATTTTGACCCATATCATTTCCAGAAATTTTGGAGTAAAAACCCATGGGTTCAAGCAGAAGTTTTCCTTAAACATATTGGCCCACCCAAAGTTGGACAGGTCAAATCTGCCAAAAAATCTTGCGAGTTGGATCTAATTCACTGAAATTCCGGATGGAAATCGCCTCTGATCCAATCTCACTTATTAATTACTTTACCATTAGATCCCAGTCGTGGTCGAAAGGTTGGTTGGGGATTTCAGTCGGTCAATCCAATCAGTAGGATTGAACTCACTACGATCCCCACTGGCTGCGACAAAAACCTCTAAACCGATCCCATCGAATGATGGAAATCGTATTCGGGGAGTCATCCCCAGCCGCAAGTTTCAGTGATTTTCAGATATGTTCAGTCAGGTGGGTGCATTAGTTTCAACCAGATCATTGATATTTGATATTTGTTGAGAGTAGTTTCATATTAACAAACCATAGACATCCCCATTTTTGATCATTTTTGTTTATTAATGCCATATAGATCCCAATGACGTCTGTGATTTACTGGGCTGTATCCCAGGTGCAGAAGATCTCTCCAGCCAACCGGCGCGGGAGGTGGGATGGGAGCCGGAGTCGTCGGTGATGGAGCGATTTTCCCAATGGGAAATCCATCAGAAACAGAGAGTCTATGGGTAATCTAACATAATATAACATAAATACAACTGATATTTAGTATTACATATTTGAAATTAGATACATATATATGAATGTTTAGTTTAGATATGGGGATGACCATATTTTTGCACATGTTTAGAACATGTTGACTGGGGGTGACCATGATCCCAGAGTTTCTGTCCGATAATTGCCATGTGTTGAGGCAACACATAGTCCTGGACTGAGTGGGATTCCAGGTTGTCTGCAATTTTGACCCATGCCCAAGTTATTGCAAGTACCCTCTGGTAAACTAACATATCACCATTTTTAATGGGTAGATCAACTATAAATGGACCATTTTCAATAGCTATGTTTGTTTACCAGAGTGTATAGACTTTCTAGTGGTTAGCGGGCAGTAGCGGGAAGCTAAAGGCTTATGGGTATCTACTTTCCCTATCAACTGGGGAGCCAATGAGCTACTAAGACTAAGAGTTTCCCAATCACATGATAGTAGATTAGTGATTAGTGGGGTGTGTTTGTGGATTCCACAATTGATCACTGATGGATCACTGTTCCCATCGCTAAGAGTGGGATGATTGGCCCTCCGATGAAAGGGATTCGATTCCTCTTTGAGGGTTTGAGGGCTCGCTGAGCCTCACCATCATTTCCATGACAAGATACAGGATGGTGCCCCCCAGTGATGTTGGTTGGTTTATAAACTCCATTAACTATAGTTATATCTGCCATAAACCATAGTGAAATGGGAGTTATAAACCAACTTAGCTACAGTAACTATGGGGCACCACCTTGTACAAACAGTAGACGTTTCACCTTCGTGACTTCGTCGCAATCACTGGGATTTCTTGCAGGGGTTTGATGGCATTCTGAAACTAGCGGGCACTGGCGAATGCAATTTGATGCCTAGGTATGAACCATGATCCCATGCTCGAAGCATCCATGATTTTTCTAAAGAACATACCCTCTGGTAAACAAACAAAAAGCTATTGAAAATGGCCCATTGAAATAGATGAAATAGTGACTTTTCCCATTATACATGATGATTTTCCAGTTCGTTATGTCAACGTTTACCATTTCGGGTACTTTTTCAGAACGTAGATGATGCCTCCTTCGGTTCAGGTTGGTGGGGTTTCAGCCACAGGGAATTTCTTCAGTCGTCACCAAAAAGAACTTCGGAAACCTCCAAGTTATGTTTGTTGGTTTTTAAACCCCATGAATTTACTTAATGATGGTAATCTCCATTCTCATGATATATATAACTTAAGTAACCCCATGAATAACTATAAATTTGATGAACTAGAATTATATCAGTTATATCTCCATTAAAACCCAAATCGAATTCAGCCACAGCCATATCTCCATTCTGAACGCAACAGCCATGATGATCGCCCCATACCCGACCTGGACATCCTGGACTTGGGGTACACAAGCCTCAATACTTTTCGAGAAAAACATCCAGAAAGATCACTAAACAACAGCAGATATCAATAAATGTTAATAAATATCAAATCTTTTTTTGTATATACATATATTATATATATATGCAAATCAATAAAAAAAGTAGGTTAAAAACCTTTTAATCGTTTTTCTCTAGATCTCAAGTCATCCAGCAAAGCGCGAAGCGAATTCTCGGCAGGTTCTGTCCTGTAAAGCTTCCATGGAAGGTTGGTGGCATAGGCCGCACAACCAGCACGAGATGGGGTGAAACTGGAACTGATGGAGACTTAAGAAACAAACACAGAGGTACAAGGTGGTGCCCCCCATAGTTAGCTAAGTTGGTTCAAATAACTCCCATAACTATGGTTTATGGCAGATAGAACTATAGTTAATGGGGTTTATAAACCAACCAACATCACTGGGGGGCACCATCCTGTAGCAATGGTATATAAACTGTATATAAATGGAAAACCATCCACTTGTAGATATACTAAAAATTATACTTGGATATCTCACCGCATTGTTTTTTGGGTTATATATTAAACTCTGGTGAATCATATAATTGGGTATGACCCTTTAACCAACAAACACAGGGGTGTCATAATAGTTTCTGCAAAAACATGTAATGGGATAAACCTATGTAATCCTCATTGTTTAGAAATTATAGGGTTAGTCCACTTACAACTGGATATTGGAAATTATGGGGATATGGATTTTTATCAGATGGGGATGGGTCAAAACCGATTAGCCTATTATTATATACATATTTTGGAATTGTCATCCATTAACAAGCTACATTAGGGTACCTAGGTGCCAGGGTTTTGACCCATAACCAGATGATTTTTTATATGGGAAATCGTACGGGACAAAGTGGGGAATTTTCCTGGATTTTGCGGTACCCCGTCCTTGGACACAGCCGACAACCTTTACAGGACTAAGGACTAAGACAGGACTAATACAGTTATGGCCATTTATTAGTTATAACTGGTTATTTCTATGGGATTATACATTTTATAAATGGGATTTTAAGTACTTATAACTGGTAAAGGGCCATAACTGTAGATTTCATCAGAGTTGAAGACCTTTCGGCTACACTCTTTTCGTGGTGCGTGTGTAAATTTCGAGCAATGGGTGCACAATATGGCTACTTAAAACCATCATTTGCTGACAAAGGTGCAGTAGATGAAGCTGATAAGATCGAGCTTCAGGTGCTGTGCTTGACTGGGGAAGGAGTGACACTGACCGTGAGTCGCTCCATGCTTGGGTATGACCTGCGCAGGTTGGTGTCAAAGAATCTTTCATGCAAGGCAGGCGCACGCTCGTCGTGCATAGTGTGAATAGAAAACTGACACTGGATGAAAACTTGGAAGACCAAGGGATTGTTGGAAAAAACGCAATGCTGTCCTGCACTTACATACCAACTGATGTGTATACAGCATGGCGTTATACCTGTGCACTCCCAACTTGTGAGAGAGAGTTTGCGCTTGAAGGCGTTACACAGCTTGAAGGAGCAAAGCAGGGAGAATATTTACACCATCTCCCCTGCAGCCTTGCAGCCCTGACTTTTGGCGAGACTTTCAACCAAAGCCTGGAGCGGGTGACCTTGCCGTCGAGTCTTCAAAGCTTGAGTTTTGGCACTAGGTTCAACCAAAGCCTGGAGCGGGTGACCTTGCAATCGAGCCTTCAAAGCTTGAGTTTTGGCTGTGATTTCAACCGAAGCCTGGAGCGGGTGACCTTGCCATGGAGTCTTCAATCATTGAGTTTTGGTGCTGGCTTCAACCAAAGCCTGGAGCGGGTGACCTTGCCATCGAGTCTTCAAAGCTTGAGTTTTGGCAGGGATTTCGACCAAAGCCTGGAGCGAGTGACCTTGCAACCGACTCTTCAAAGATTGAGGTTTGGCGCTGAGTTCAACCAAAGCATGGAGCGGGTGACCTTGCCATCGAGTCTTCAAAGCTTGAGTTTTGGCAGGGATTTCGACCAAAGCCTGGAGCGAGTGACCTTGCAACCGACTCTTCAAAGATTGAGGTTTGGCGCTGAGTTCAACCAAAGCATGGAGCGGGTAACCTTGCCATCGAGTCTTCAAAGCTTGAGTTTTGGAGATAGGTTCAACCAAAGCCTGGAGCGAGTGACCTTGCCATCGAGTCTTCAAAGCTTGAGTTTTGGCAGGAATTTCGACCAAAGCCTGGAGCGAGTGACCTTGCCATCGACTCTTCAAAACTTGAGTTTTGGTGCTGGCTTCAACCAAAGCCTGGAGGGGGTGATCTTGCCATCGAGTCTTCAAAGCTTGAGTTTTGGCTTTGATTTCGACCAAAGCCTGGAGCGAGTGACCTTGCCATCGACTCTTCAAAACTTGAGTCTTGGCAGGAATTTCGACCCGACCTTGCCATCGACTCTTCAAAGCTTGAGTTTTGGCGCTGAGTTCAACCAAAGCCTGGAGGGGGTGACCTTGCCATCGAGTCTTCAAAGCTTGAGTTTTGGCTGTTATTTCGACCAAAACCTGCAGGGAGTGACCTTGCCATCGAGCCTTCAATCATTGAGTTTTGGCCATTGTTTCAACCGAAGCCTGGAGCGAGTGACCTTGCCATCGAGTCTTGAAAGCTTGAGTTTTGGCCATTTGTTCAACCAAAGCCTGGAGCGGGTGACCTTGCCATCGAGTCTTCAAAGCTTGAGTTTTGGCTGTGATTTCAAGCCTGCAGGGAGTGACCTTGCCATGGAGTCTTCAATCATTGAGTTTTGGCCATTGTTTCAACCGAAGCCTGGAGCGGGTGACCTTGTCATCGAGTCTTCAAAGCTTGACTTTTGGAGATAGGTTCAACCAAAGCCTGGAGCGAGTGACCTTGCCATCGAGTCTTCAAAGCTTGAGTTTTGGCAGGAATTTCGACCAAAGCCTGGAGCGAGTGACCTTGCCATCGACTCTTGAAAACTTGTGTTTTGGTGCTGGCTTCAACCAAAGCCTGGAGGGGGTGATCTTGCCATCGAGTCTTCAAAGCTTTGGTGCCCCTAGTGGCGATTTGTATGTCCTTGTCAGTTCTACTGGTTGCATTTAGTTTGTATCACACGTCCCTGAACCGATATCGAAGCAAAAGAGGTTTGCGTTTGCCAATTGAGGCAGACGATCCCCGGCTGCTGGAGACGACACGAACCTTCTTTTTTCGCCTTCAGTTAGTGAATGTTGGATAGAATGGGAACTCCTGGGGAGAATATGGAATTGGATGGAACAAAACAATATAGGACAATTAATGATTATTATTGACAATTCATGAACATTCATGAACTTTTCGCATATGTCATAACATGGGAATTCTTGGGATAATACTGGAATTGATGTGATACCATGGGACATATTATGGGGTTACTGTCGGGAATTCTGAGATGGTCAGTTGGGAGAATGAACATCCACTGAAATCATCTGAAATCCTCAAAGGTGGTGTTCCAGTGAGCGATTCATCGCTAAGTTGGTGAACGTAACTCCAATTTCACTTGGGTTTAAAGGTTTAAAGGTTTAAAGGTTTAAAGTATATAGATATATCTTATATTCATCTACTACTATAACTTTATATATATATATACTTAATGGTTGTTATAAACCACCTTCAAATCACTGGGCGGTCACCACCTTGCAATTGTTTGCCGTGAGACTGGTCTGACCTGTCGGGCTTTCCAGTTGGGGACGTGGTTTGACCTTGGACATCGATCCGCCGAAGCTGGGATGACAGTGATACAAAACTTAAAGATTCACCTATCATGTGGGCCCCACCCCCCAGTTATGAGTTGTTTTTTTTCCCCCAGAATACTATATAGTTGTAAGTTATAAGGATCATACACCATAGTTATTGGAGTTATTTTGCACCAACTTAGCTATCGTAAACAGGGCCCCACATTGTATCACCCATTCCATGTTCAAATGGGTGGAGAAACTGTGTGCCATGTTCAAATGGGTGGAGAAACTGTGTGTTCGCCGAGTCAATGCAAAGTTTCTGGCGACTTTCAACGAAGGGATGGAATGCAGACCCTCACGAAGTGCTTCTGCTCTCCGACCCTCCAAATTACACAACAGAACATACCATAACATCCCATTACATTGCATTACATTACATGGCACTACATTACGCACCATTACATAACATACCATTACAATACAGTACAGAACATGCCATTACATCACATAAAATACCATTGCAATACATTACATTGCATTACATTACAGGCCAGTACAGTACATTACATACCATTATATTATATTACATTACATTACATCATATCACATTAAAGTACATACCACTACATTTCATTACATTTCATTTCATTACATTTCATTACGTTTCAGTACATTTCAGTACATTACATCACATCACGTTACATTACGTTACGTTACACACCACTACATTACAGTACATTACATACCAGTACATTACACACCTACATTCCTACGCACTTACATACCTACATACCTACATACCTACATACCTACCTGCATACATAGAGACATGCATACGCACACACACACACATAGCTTGCACAAAAGGGGGGGTTAAAAGATACAGACAGACAGACAGACAGGCAGGCAGGCAGACAGACAGACAGAAATACATGCATGGATGATCATGGATGCATGCAAGCATTGTGCCATGCATGCACATATACACAGGGACACATACACAGACATATGTACATAGAGCATGCGTGTCAGCATGGCCTGGACGGAATCGTGGGACGCCTGAATGGGACTTTTTTTCCCCAATTGCTGATAGTTTTGTGAGTACAAGGAGGCGAACCATCGAATTGACATGTTGACCTCGATTGGTATTAACTATTGATGGTTCTGGTCAGAAGACCATTCTTATGCCTCTGCAGGCGTTCTAGACCTCAAAGTGATGTGAAACGCCTAAAAGGTCTCATTCCCTCGTGCTCTAATGTAATCCACCATGCTGGTCCCCTCAACCCACCCCATGTCCCAGCCCCGTGTCCTCAAGTCAAACCCTAAAGGTCTCATTCTCTGGTTCTAAGTGATCCACTTTTTTGGTGCTCAAAGTGATCCGGTGCTCTAAGTGATCCCTTAACAATTAACAGCAGGGTACTTTGTTGGAAACAGCCAAGGCTTGCCTTTTAGGCTGTCATTTTTTCAATGCTTTAGTTTCACCCCATGAACACCACAGTTGCCATAGTTAGTTATTCCCTTGCAGGAAAGCCACCAGAATTCACGGCGCACTCAACGGGAGAATGTGTTTACCACCAAGTTT